AAGGCAGTCTAGAAAATACGACCTCAAGTTGCCTTTAATCTGAGAGTTACGTATTATTGCAAGTGATTGACACTAATGCTAGGCCAATTTGTGTCGAATTTCTAACATTTATAATTCTTTGTTGTAGAATTTCTGAGGACGTTCAATTTTCATAATTTGTAATATCAACGAAACTTGTTTACCTAATACAATTATAGTGTACCTAGTTAGGATAGTTGTCTTATTAGTTTATTAATTACATTTAGTGACCATAATTAAGGAAATGGTACTAGGTATGTATTTTGTGACGAACTCACAAAACTGACGTAAGTAATAGAGGAAATTATGATAAAATACTTTTACTAAAAATTAAAGTTTCTTTTGTTGTTTTGAAATATAGTTTACAGATACCAGTTCGATCGGGCAACAGGTCGGGTTATGTCGGATACCGGCGGCTTCGAGAAGGCAGACAAACTATCCTGCTCTCCGGAGGTTACGCCATGAAAAACCCGCGCTGTAAGAGTTGCACAAGCCCCACACACTGTACCTACTAAGCTCAAACGAGCTTTACCATGCCATTTACACAGAATTAGCGCCGAAAGTCCGCCTTTGCCAGTACTCGTCCCGGTGGTAGGACGGGATCCCGTCACGTTGGCGCCGCGGAAGACATCGTGGGCAGTGCATGGAAGCGAACTTTCGCGCTTCTATGCCTCTCGGTGTACCGGGTCACTCAACATGGCCATGGCCTCTCACGACTGTCTGTCTCCCATGTAGTCATTAAAAAATAGAGTTACTCAAGCTGTCAAGTTTTCACGCACCAGCGGGAAGTTTACCACAAGTAATTTAAATATTGTTATATAGCCTTAGATCGATCAAGAAGTTAACGGACCACCTGGTGTAAAGTGGTTACTGGAGTTCATTGACATCACAACCTAAACCGCCAACCATCTTGAGGCAAAGTCGAATTTAATTGAGTATAGTATAGCGGTTGTCCTGCGCATCAAACCGGACTGTTTCGCGGCTGAATCGACAGGATGGTTGTAACTACCTGTGCGAGCTTAAAATACGCCTTCTATTCTATTCTGCACTCCTTCTTTATATTCTCTATAGGTATGGGAAATTTCATACTCCTCCGTTCGCGCAATTTTCGTAAAAGGGGGTACAAAGTTTTTGCTTCACGTATTAAATATATAGATTAACGAGTGTAATAGTAATAAGTTATAAATGCTTTCGTATTCAGCAATATAGTATGAAATATAGAATGGGTAAATTTATTAGTCTACAGTTTTGTATAATTTAAACACTGATATTTAAAACCTGAATCGTTACTATTTCCAAAATTAACTACAAGATACTTGATTACGGTCATTATGCCACATAATTTTTATTGATTTTAATGAGCAGATACACATGCGAACTGTGTTATTATTACAAGTCTCATTTGTATGGCTACAACGATTGTTCTAATTCTTCAAATCAAAACAAACCATTGCTTCGTTGCTCAAACACGACTATGGTATCAAGCCCTGGTCATAAAACGATTATTTAATAGCACGCATTAATATGGAGACTTGAAAGATAAATAGTATATTGATCAGGAAAAGAAGATAAGGATATAAATACTGGAAATGGATCCAGCATTGGTTGCAGCTGATGAGGATTGTTCACCCAGACTCGTATCTTCTGATTAAACGCTGGACAGACTTTGTTTTACGAAGACCCTCTGATCGCAAAATATTCATGAAGTTGAATATTAAAAATATGTAAAATTTCGCGAAGGTTACGTACTCTCGGACAAGCGTAGTATTCAATGTTGCATAATTAACTTTCGAAGTAGGTGCATCGGTTACCAAATAATTATACCTAAAGTTTATACTTTCAAAATCGTTCCACGTGTAAGCTTGATTGTGTATGAAATCTATTGATTTGCACATAATATTTAAATTACGAAACCGATCGAGGGAAGCTTCTACGAGGTATCAAAATTTACAGGTGAGCGCGGATTACGGAACCGTGCGGGTAGTTATAATAACAGCGATTTTCTAAGTATCTGTCCTGATATTCATACTATAAATATAATATACTTCATATAATGATATTTTAAAGTGATAGTATCAAGTCAGAAAAGTGACATAGGATATTTTTTATCCCGAAAAAAACATCTCGTTCCCCATGTGAAACTACACGGACACATTTTCTTGATCGCGGTGACGAAGCCGCGGGTAATTTAATATTCTTAAGTTAAAACTAAGAAAATAGACAATTTAAATTTATAGTATTCTCCGTGATTTCCGAGTCGTAGATATAATTAAAATTACCTTTATGGTGTGATCTTGTGTGTCGTCATTAACCTACTTCCAACGTTTTGAATACTTTAAATTCGCGACAATCAAGTCATAGTTTTTAACTACGTCGAAACTAAAATATCCGAGGTCAAGGCGTCAACTTTGAATTAAATATTGGAACCTAACATCGTAGAGTCTGGCGTGACCGGATCGATTGAACTTTGTTTCATTATATCGTGTTACCAACGAAAATCACTGCTCAGCCGGTCACGATCACGTGTTCCGTTAAGCATCCGATATATCGGAAATTGTAAAACTAAAAAAAACACTAACTAAATTACACTATCAAAGTTTAGATGTTTTATGTTAGCTTGTGTGTATCTGAACTGTTCCAGGAAACGGAAGTGGGGCTGGTGACATTTGAGAAGAGAAAAATGAGAAACACATTTCAAAATTACAGTTTTCAGTGTTTGAACTATACGCAGTGTATCGTGATATGGCGGGGGCGGGGAATCTACGATCACCAGCAAACACGAGGAGCCGCTACCACTGGTCGGACTCCTGCGCCTCCAGAGAAAAACAGAAGGAAGAGGAACACCGAAATTCTCCTCTATCCAGTACTGCCATTCCTCCTAGGTATCTAGCCCTTGAGAAAGGCGCGCGAGGATCACCTAATATCTAGACAGAGCTTGAGAACAATCTTGGAAAATCAGTCTCTTTTTGTAATCAGCGAGTATTGTCCAAATTCTACTATGTCTAATGTAAAGTATTTCATAAATATTACATTAAGTAATTAGAATAGTAGTCGTGCCTTTATGGCATTAGTATGATAATTGCCCCAAATTTTTACGTATTTTAATCTATCATAGTCATAAATACCTATTATTTTTTTCTTATTAATAGTAATTTGGACTGTTTGCAAAGATATTACCAAAAATAGTATGAGCAAATTTCCGTGCACAAACACAAACAACACAGGACACGCTTGATTTTTTTTAAACATAAAATGATAAAATTATCTACACCGACGTCACCGATTGGGTATTTTATCTTTTGAATAAAGATGAAATAGTTTTGTTAAGATCAACTCATATTAATTAATTAAAACTGAATGCATAATATCGACATTTTTATACAAAAATAGTTGAGAATATAAAGATCATGTTAACGTCTCAACCGAATAATAAATTGCGTTTTTAAAATTAGATATATATAATTTATGTTGTAATGTGTATTTGTCTTACTTATCTTAAAAAAAGCGTATTCTCTAACTCTATTAAATTGTCTCCACTGTTTAATTACCTTCATAGTGGTTAGTAAATGAGGGAGGTCGCGTGTTGAGCACATACGTAATTTAAATCTGAGGAAATTCAGATTAGGACCTCATGCCTCATAGTGTAAGCGACATTTACGCTTTAGCATAANATTTATGTTGTAATGTGTATTTGTCTTACTTATCTTAAAAAAAGCGTATTCTCTAACTCTATTAAATTGTCTCCACTGTTTAATTACCTTCATAGTGGTTAGTAAATGAGGGAGGTCGCGTGTTGAGCACATACGTAATTTAAATCTGAGGAAATTCAGATTAGGACCTCATGCCTCATAGTGTAAGCGACATTTACGCTTTAGCATAAAATATGTATTTTAGCTGCACTTACCGTTTTAGATCAGGCAAGCCTAAGGAATTTTAACTATTCCATGAAGAAATAAACGAAAGCAATCTTGAGATCAATGGAAGCCAACTGAAGCTTTCAATGATCAGTCAGACAAACCGATGCCTTTTTAAATAGCGGATATAATGTTAGAATACATAGAAAATTATTACATTCTTGTGCGTTTTTAAACGTGAATCGTGCGTTTTATTATAGCAGTGGAAAGTTTTAAACTTAAAACACGAGGTATCATCCGTCGAAGCATTTATAAATGAAGCCTGTAATGTTAAATCATGATTGGATCACTTTTAAATTCGATTTTCGGAAATAAAATTGAGATACACATTCAAAAATACATTATCTAATCCCAGTGTTTAATGCTAAACTTATTTCGATTTCATTCTAACACTGTTCTTTTATGAAAAAAGAATTAAAACCAAAGACTACTGAAATATATGTATACACAAAATTTTAATATTTTATTCGAGAAAATAATAAATAAAATAAACAAACTTCGCCGTTCTTATACCTTTAATTAACAACGTTCTTTTCACGTCAATTTAATTTCATTTTAACTGTTACGAAAATCTCAAAAAAACCTATCTTACCTGTGGGGAGTTGTTGTATGTTACGCGCTGATTATCAACCGAAGTTGATATTAGGGGCTCTTGTTCTTCGTTTCCGGCAGTCATTTTTAATGTTGATCACAAAATTAAACTATAACAATATTAATCATACGATCAAACTCATGATTTCACACACACATACACACAGCACGAGATTATTGTTAGTTACGTCACAAATTTTTTATTTTGATTTGGCGGGAAATGTGCAGGTTAGGCAACGGCGCGCGAGTGCTGCGATGCCACAGAGCGATGTGTTTGTTAGACAGACGGAGGCGTGGTCGACCGTATTCTATGCCATTTGACTGATGAACGGTCGTTCCTACAAGGTATTTAGCCAAGCTAGTCAAGCTAGTTAACGAGGAAGTCTGTTTGTAATATACTTTTGGTAGCTTTAATTCTAAATAATTAATTACTGAAATTAGGCGGTTTTTAATACTACGTAAAAGAAACAAAACGCATCGTATGTAAATATTTATTCAAAAAATCATATTTGAGATAGCAAATAATAATGGGTATTTTTTTCTCTATTATATACTTTTTAATATTCTCCTATAACAAATCCTCACGTAACTTGTATGATTAAATGACACATGACAAAGGAACTATTGTATGTAGACTTGAGATGCTTTATGAACCTTAATATAATTAGCAATATGGCTAAATTACATGTATAATTATGAAAACTTACAGACTATTTCACAATAACATTGCTTTAACATAGACTTTCCCTTCATATAATTATTATTTGGTGATATCTCTTCATCCGTACGACCGGGGTCTGTTCGATCGAATTAAAAGAAAACTATGACAATAAATGCCAAGAAAAGTTATACATTAATAACATTTCCATTTAATATATTAAGTGCAGAATTATACTCGAGTAGTTTGAACCGAAAGTTTGGTTGTATAAGGAATATCTTTGATGACTTTATCAATGTAATAGTTACATTATTTAAATAGATTCGACGAACTGAAATCACTTGGCATTTAGGTATATTTCAGTGATGTCAGTAGGCGAATGAGCAAGCAATTCTTCAACGGGCCCTACTGAGTTCAAAAAGAAACTCGCCTAGTATATAATATGTTTAAATAAATAACATACTCATTTGTATGTTTTAAAATGTGATGTTTACGATAATTTCAAAATCGATTAATATAAATTTTATCGATATTAATCTTCAATTTGACATAATGCTAAAAATGAATCGTTCTCCTTATTTATAGCTATTGAGGAAGCATTATATTATCCTATTAACAAATCATGTAAAATATGGCCAAATATTGTATTTTACGATGACATTTTGGTAAATTTGCTTTTTAAGAGAAAAACGAATGTGTTGAAATAGATATTAATATAAGTATTTTAAAATTTCAACATTTTTATCACAAGATAGTACGAAATCGAGACATTACTGTTGTTGATACATCGATAATGATTCAATTTCATAACTAATCGAACTACAATATTGTATGTACACAAAACTAATAAATTGTCTATTTATGCAATATTAATAATTAAACACACAAAATAAACTAGTGACATAATATAAATAGAAATGATAAACTGTATCATATCATTAATAGTTACTGTTGTAATGTTTGAGATTATAAACACGATTATTATACATTAATATCCATAATCTATTATTATTATTGTGACTATTATTACTATTATGAGTTGAACATTGAATAAAATAGTGGGGCTGTGATATATTTTGATAGCTGAATTCTAACGTTACTTATCAATAGAATATTATCGATAATGCCAATTAACTGGCCCAACGTTCTGAAATTCTGAAAAGGTCAAATTATTGTACTATTTTTTCAACAATTCATCTTTGCTGTAATAACTGTTGTTGTATCAGAACTATCATCGCTATAAGACCTAATATCAGATTCGACAAAGACAATAAATAATTACTTTCAGAACTGTATATAGCGTCTTTTATTTACAAACCATATTGCACTTACATTAAATTAGGCTATTTATTGGACTACAGCGGACGTTGTTATGCATAAATGATCCAATTCACTTTGAAGTCATAATTAGCTAATACAATTGTCGATAATAATGCATTTAAAAACAGTATTCATACTTCGAGGTTTGACTGATTTGAGCACATCATAATACATCATGAAATTCAAATCTTAAAAGCTTTAATGGAGTGGGTCATTTTTGCATAAGCACATCCAATATAATAGATTCCTCGTAATGTTCAGAACGCAACTGGCTGCAGATTATAGTGCTTAAACTATTGCTAACTAACGTGTGAAGACTTTCAGTCTACCATTTTCTAATTGGCAGTGTTCGTTGAAACATTAAATAAGTGCACATTTAAAATTAGTCTTTATTCAAACGGAACAAGTCTAAATCTTGATTGAAACTAAATAAATTCGAATATATGTACATAGGGAAAAAGAACAAGGTATGTTAACAGTTTCGGCAAGCTGAACCTGGCTTATGGAACCACGATCCGGTGTTAATATCAATAAATGTCAGATTTACATTGATTCTTGATGCAAATTAATACAGACAGCTCAATTTCGATTTTACATGACCATTTTCGAACGTATTCTGGATTTTAATAGAACGTTAATGTTAAAATTATATATATAGGTCAAATTCGTAACGAAATCTCAGGTAACATAATAGCGAAATTATAGATGGCCTAAATAATTTCTGTTAAATCAATACACTGACCGCAACGTTGTATCGCATTACAATTTAGTCTCACATCGGTAAACATAACAATGTATCGATTAACATAACGATGTATCGATACAAAACTTTAATCGATTATTTCATTCGATCCAATCACGTTTATATTCATATCGGATTTTATTCAGTATTTTTGCATGTATAGTTTAAAGCAATAACATTATTTTGAATCAAGTGTGACCCTGTCGATCACGTTTAAAACTTTCAGTACTCTGTCACAGGCTAAGTTCGACTATATTGTGATGTATTTGTTTCAAATTACAACGAAACTGTTCTTAGACCAGTTCTCTCGTTAATTTATCAAATAATGCTTTTTATAATACAAGAGCGGATACGACAAAAAAAAAGTTGAACGGCCAATAACTTCAAATCGTGTTGTAATATCTAGTTATTAAATCGATCTAACATGACATTCGAAGAAATTCTGTGAAATACAGTAACCCCCCCTATAACGCGGTAGATTAGTTCCGCGTTATAGGGCTTGAAATCGCGTAATATGAAAACGCGTTATAATTGGGTTTTTAATTAAACAGTACTAAACATACTTTGTCGATTGACTTTCAAGATGAAAGTATAATGTGTAATAAAAACCAAATAAGCAAAATAAAATATATTTCCTGGTGGTGTGTTAGGATAGATACCACCATACTACTTGTTTCTGTCGAGAAGCAACCACGCCTAGCGATTTAAAAGAGTGGGACATCCGTTACACTATAGAAGTGAAACTTCGCATGCACGCCACTTCAAGATATAAAAAAAAACCTATGCTTAGATTTCTGATTATTTATTTTGATACCTACACATTTACTAGCATTTTTAATATGTTTTAAAACAAACGCGAGTCAGTTTCTTTTAGCAACGAACTCAGTTTTGATTCGTTTCATGAAAATTAAATTATACTCAAAGTTTTTTATTTATTTATTTAGCTATCAAAACGAAACCCAATGAAATCGCAAAATGCGCTTTGCACATTACATACACCTTTATTGTTTCTTGAAACACGTCGCTAAAGGAAATCTTAAAAAGTTCGATATACCTGTGATTCCCGAATCTACGTCATATTCAACTGCCAATAACGTTATTCACACGATCTACGATAGTGAATTACGAATATTTATTACGAAATTCATTTGAGTAATTAAGAAATATTCGACCACACAGTCGTTTTAGAACAGGTAAAACCGGATCTGCTTCTAAATCGAGTCAATAACTAACGACATCCAAGTTAAATGTGACTAATGTAATTTAATTATGATTATTTTAACCAAACCAAAGCGATCGGAATAAATGCCGAATTCAAATGGTCATAATAGCCGATGCGAAACAAATCTTAATCGATTCCCCTAAGCATTCTCCGTCGTTCGTACACAGCAACAACTAAACGCTAAATTATAATATTACATATCAAATAAGGCGTATCAATTATATAAATATTCATAATCATACGTTCGGACGTCGAGTCCTTGAATATTCGCTAATCGGTTCTAAAACATAACACTAACTTTATAGGGACTGTATAAAAAATGTGTAACGAATTCCGACAACTAGAGATTACATTGCTTATAATCGATAACTCACGACACGTGAGCGTGGCAACATCGGAACCGCACTACACGACGATATGAGGTAGCGTAAACTTATTCACCGATTTTGATTGCCAGAAATAAATTAACAGACGACGTCAAAATACTAACGGGTTGTAGATGTGTTGGCAGAATTATCGAACGCTTTGTGATGATAAGTCAATGTTATCAGAAGTTCTGCCTAAAATCATGGACACACGAGTGTAAGCCTTCGCCGATTATCCAGCATTAATGTTTGGAATAACTTTTCGATTTTCGATTTCTTTTTAAATATCGATTTGACGCTACAACTCCGCAGTATCGATATAACGTCATTATCGATTTATTTTCGGCAATTAAAAATAGCGGTGCACAAAAAAAAACCTAAAGCAGATTAAATTTTAACCTTAACGACGATATAATACTGCTATAACGGCTATAATTTAAAGATAACTCATACAAATCGATTCCGTCAGCGACACGCGAACGCCTACCTTAATATTATGCTAAATAAACGTGCCGATGCGGGTTCAATATATGAGTGAATGCACGTATGGGTTTAATGTTTGCACGAAGCGTTTCCTACTTAAAACTACAGCTTATGATGAGAGCAGTGATATAATTCTCCTAATGTACTCGCGCGGTTCACGATGTACGGTTCAATCGATCGTGACCTCAGAATCGCGGCGGCCCATCCTATCGCCATTCTCACATTCCTGTCGAACCAAAACCTTAAAATTAACTAGTACACTAAACCTAAATAAAAAAGGGAGGGGAAATTTCGATCCGAAAACATCCAACGAAAATATTACAAGAAAATAAACTACACTAAGTCGAATTGTCTTTACGAATAGGATATTTTCGTAGTATCGTACCTTTGTGAATGTTCGTTTTTATCAAACATAGACCGCACTTTAGCGGAACATGCATGATAAGACGTTAAAGTCATATATATTATGCTGTCTCAAGAATTTTAGTTGAAAAACAGGTACGGATACATAGATAATTTAGAATAAATTAAATAATATATGTAATGTAAACGAAAACATATTTTTTTTAAACTAATAAACGCCGAAGCGCTTCTATATCACAGCCAAGTCGGCCGCCGCTGGCCTGGAGTCTACGATCTTAAATGCGATTTAAAAAAAAAATCGACATTCCATGTGTCTTTGACACGTTCCCGCTGTCATTGTTTTTTTTTTATATTTCAAAACGTCATAGTCATTTAAGTCTTACCTCAGTCGCCTTCACATAAACGTTCATTTAAATTTTGTACTATCATCGATAAATGAACGTACATAAAAACGATCGTCTCAGCTTTTTTTGTATTTATCACATCAATAGAAAAAAATCAGTCTTTATTTTAACATACGAGTCCCGTTTGCGCACTTCTCAGTGGAACCGAAAAAAATTAGCAGATAGTACCACAAATTGTAAATGAATTTTGTTCGTGTCAAAAGAGATACTGCAATTTGCGTCGTAACGGTTACCGGTCTTCGAATAAGAATTTGACAGTACAATTTTGAATGTTTTTCCTGGTAACATTGTAATAAGGTGACAGCTGTCATTTCGGAAATGTCACATTGCAAAAGTAAATTCACTATCTGTAAAGCATCGATTAATCGATAATCGTTAACAAAGAAAAATATAATTTGTAACATTGTCGATTTAAATTAATGTGCTGAATAAAATTGTTCCTTCTTTTCATGTTTTTCAAACGGAACTAAACCATCATTTATTTTAGTAGAATGATAGCCGAGACGACCTTTCTTCTAATATAATGGACGTACCGTCGGATTAGAGGCAAGTTTATATAATTATCGATAACTCTATCGATTACACTTAAAAGTCAAATAACAATTATTATAGTCACTATTTCGATGTTCGTTATCGGACTTTAATGATACGACCGACCCTATTTATTCTAGTTAAATAACTTTAAAAAAAAAAAACTCCTAATTTTAGGTCACAAACTGGTAACAATTCCCTTCATTTCATTATCGAAGTATATTCATATGGTGATGTCGTAAAAATTAGTTACGGGTCGGTCGCCAAACTGTCTCGTATTAACAACTAAATTCCTCTACTGTCTAGCGTCAGCTAAAAGCGGTTTCTACGCGAACCGCTTGTCGGAACAATGTCCGCACGAGAGCAAACACACACCAAGTACTTTACTCAGGAGATAATTGACAATTCGCAACGTCAAAATCGTTCCGGTGTTATGATCTCTACAGAATCGAACCTCAAAAGCTCTGTTTAAATATTGTTTCTCGTAACAAAAACGTTTATCAAAAGCAAGCCTCAATGATCCGTACGTCTGCTCCAAGATCGACCGTACGCGTTCGGCTGTTAGGTCGATAATTGTTTAAAGCGTCTGCGGCATTTGTCTAGACGGCTGTCCCTTCAGCCGCCTACCCAGAGGTCACTGTCAGTTGTTCTTGTCGCAGTTATGGAAGACCCAGTTGAAGGATGTCTTCCACGAATTCTTCAGGGCGTCCGAGAACTTCTCACGGAAATGCTCCATCGCTTTCTCTTCGGACCGATCCATTACCTAGCAGGAAATAGAGTTTAGAAATAGAGTTATATTGACAATTTAGATACCCTTCATTTAAGGTATGGAATTTCTAGTTTTGTTAACAATCCTTTTCGAATCCAAACAAAACTTTTGTCGTGGATATTTTTTTTTTTGNGAATTCTTCAGGGCGTCCGAGAACTTCTCACGGAAATGCTCCATCGCTTTCTCTTCGGACCGATCCATTACCTAGCAGGAAATAGAGTTTAGAAATAGAGTTATATTGACAATTTAGATACCCTTCATTTAAGGTATGGAATTTCTAGTTTTGTTAACAATCCTTTTCGAATCCAAACAAAACTTTTGTCGTGGATATTTTTTTTTTTTGTAATTATAATTAAGATTTTCTGTTAAAAAAATCATTGTCCTTCTTTCATCCAACTGGGTTGCCTGGATGAAATCCCTCTATGCGATAAAACCGTCACTCCATACACTTGCAGTGTTCCATTCATCTCCCCATTTGAAATATATTGGAAAACATAAACAAGTACTCACTAATGTATCTCTGAGGTATTGCAAGTCCTTCTCCGAGCTGAGTTCCGGCAGACCCGTCGATATCATCATTGAGAACAACGACAGTATTAGATGTCCATGTTTGCGGAGGATTTTGAATGCCTATAATATTTATGATTATTAATACATTCGAACTAAAACTTTCGTCGTGTAGCTTCATGGTTACAGAATAAAAGTCCTACCAAACCGATAATAATTCTGTGTGGTCACTGCTGAATTCCCTACAAAAAAAATATTTACTATACTCACGTATTTACTTGAATTTGTTAATTTGTTTGAATCAAATTATGTCTTGCAATGCCTTAGGCATACACACATACGCGACTGCCTATTCGCTGCTAAATACTATCTATATAAAATTGCGGCTTTCACGTTTTTATATTTTAAACTCGTGTGACGGACTGCCAACCTATCTGTTGATGACAATGACATTTGACTTCACTGTCAACTGTCAAAAACTGATGAACTATTCATTTTAGATAGCCATTAAGCTCCACTCAGAAATTATTCCCCTTATTTCATTATTGTTTATTATACACTTCTTAATTAAAAGTGATATAAAAAATTACATTAGATAGCATTACAACACAAATAGATATATACATATACGCAGCCACGACAGAGGGGAAACAGTGTATAAATATATAAATAAATAAACACGTCGTCATAAACTTACAGTTTCGCAATGCTCCTTGAATATTTTGAAGTCGATAGCGTTGTTATCGCCGGAGCCCTTCTGACCTTTATTGATGACGTATATAAAATCGTGCGTCAGCACAAAGGGCACCCTTTCCCGTTTGAATCCGTACTTCTGTTTGAAATGTCCAAGGAAATGGCCGAAGTCTATGTGGAAGAGCTGCCGAAGGAAATCTATAATTTAGATCTCGCTAGTGAAGGGACAAGCAGTTTTTTTTAATTGCTTATATGGGTGGTGTTAAGTGGTTACTGGAGCCCATAGACATCTACAACGTTAATGTGCCACCCACCTTAAGATATAAGTTCTAAGGTCTCAAGTATCACCCCACTGCAATGAAATGATGAGTGCAATGGAAACGGAGGTCGCCGATGATAGCCGATGAAAACCTTTGTTTATTTGTTTGTATGCCATTCATAATTAAAACCAATCGAGTGTGAAGCTATCTGCAGTTGTTTGTTACAGTACAATAGTGCACCGGTCACCGTGCTCGTCGAACCCGTCGCTTGCGACGAAGGGCTCGGTGAATAAATCAACCCATAGACGCAGCCCACTGAGTTTCTCGCCGGATCTTCTCAGTGGGTCGCGTTTCCGATCCGATGGTAGATTCTGCGAAGCACTGCTCTTGCTAGGGTCAGTGTTAGCATCACTCCGGTTTGAGACCAGTTAGCTCACCTACTAGTTAAGGTTACGCTGAAATAGCCTCTCAAGGCTAGGTAAGAAAAAAAAAAGCTGAGGCTGCGCTGTCTGTACTACAGCTAGCTACACAGCGCACCTGCCCGCTCTTCTTGACCATGATGTTGTCGGGATGTCGGTCGGCGATGCCCAGCACGTAGGTGGCGACGCAGTAGCCGGCGCAGCTCATCGTGAACTCGTCGATCGCCTTGTTGAAGGCGTTCTCGTTGTTGTTGTCGGTGTACTTTCGAAGCCATTCTGTGTAATATATATTTTTTTTAAATTAATTAATATCGGATAGCTGTTACAGTGTTTATTGATTTCCTTGAACTTATCGATCCTCAACCGTTTGCTTTTTTTTTATATTCGCGATGCCCTTGAGGTTTAGTAGTCCGGAGACCATTGACATGACAATGTGAAAGCCTCCACCCGCACGAAGTCCAAATCTCAATTGAGTTGTACAACAGGCGGCCCACCCATCAAAGCGGAACACGTAACTACTTTAGGTTAGAAATCCGATAGTGGTATAGGTATCACTTTCAATTTGAGATGTTAAAATATAAATATGAATTGACACTCATGTTCATAGAAGCGCTTCCCATTCGCGTGTAACTGGAATAGTCCCTAACGCTACCAGCGCATAGATAGGAACAAAATTGTATCCGATCCTTTGGACCGAATGGTAAACAGTTAACATCGCCCTAAACACGTCATCCCCCTGATCCATTAACGGTGCTTTTAGGCACCACAAGCACCGGTCACCGTCCTCGCCTAATCCATCGCTTGCGACGAAGGGCTCGACGAGTAAACGAACCGATAGACACAGCCCACTGAGTTTCTCGCCGGATCTCCTCAGTGGGTCGCGTTTCCGATCCGGTGGTAGATTCTGCGAAGCACTGCTCTTGCTAGGGCCAGTGTTAGCAACAACTCCGGTTTGAGCTCCGATAACTCAACTACACGCTAGAGTGACGCTGATATAGCCTCCCAAGGCTATCAGCTTAGATAGGAAAAAAAAGTGTTGCTTCTAGATTGAACTTACGCAGCAAGGCCGCTTTGTTTATAGTGGACGCCGCGTTGAAGGGTGCGTTCTGCTTCTGTATGTTGGCGACGGTCTCCGCGTCCTCCACCACCTCGATCATGCCGACAGAATACTCGATCGATATGCAGTTGTACGCGTTCAGTCTGTTCGATGACGAGAAACTACTGAGTTAGGCCACTCGTATATACAGGGTGTTGTGAAGAATGATTATATTTTTGAATGATTATAAGATATTATTATTATATATTTTTATAAATCATTGTGAATAAAATAAAGTTGATAACTTTGTAAAGTTTTTTTTTTCATAAATTCGTATAGCTTTTGTTTTGTTTTTATTACACAGATGTGTAAATGAGCTCGCGGCCTGTTTGGCCTCAAGTGGTTAATGGAACCCATAAATGACGTTATAGTAGTCATAAATAAACATTTTGCATCTTCAATCATTTGAGGTTTTGTTATTTTTCTATGCTTAATTGCGTTTGCCATTGGCACTGTCGATGTTCACGACGCACGGTGAACGATTATGATTGGCAGGAAAATTTGTTCGTTTATCTAATTTAAATATTGAATAAATCAAAATCAACCTGAAGTCGTATCCATGATTTTTCCATAATCTATCCATTATCCTCAGCATCTGTAGCGTGAACATATCTTGTCTGAGATCGTCTCCTATTTTCAATATTATCCGGATATCGTTGCCGGTCGGGTCGAAATTCTCAAAATTCAATATCAGAGGACGCATTTTACTGTCCATGACTCGACAACCTTCAGGCCTAAAAAGAGAAGAATTTCAAAATTGTCTCTACAAAAAAACGTGCGGGTTAAATTTGACATTGGATCTATAAGGAGACCGGAATCAGAGTGTTGCGTGCTAAATTCTACTTAATTATAGTTTTTTTTTTTTAATTTAATGCCTATTTTTTTATACTGACAACATTGTATAAATTTGTTAATTGTTGCAAAGATGAGCGAACGAGCTCACTAAGTATCAATTATAGAGTACAAGAGCTTCAGCTTCGCGGTAGAAATAGGCCGCGCAGTAGTACCACCACCTTGCCTATTTCAGCCGTAAAGCAGTAATGCGTTTCGGTTTGAAGGGTGGGGCAGCCGTTGTAACTATACTACGAGATCTTAGAACTTATATCTCAAGGTGGGTGGCGCATTTACGTTGTAGATGTCCATGGGCTCCTGTAACCACTTAACACCAGGTGGGCTGTGAGCTCGTTCACTCATATAAGCAATAAAAAAAAAAAAAACCGACCGTTGTGAGCTTCTAATAATCCCTACTACAAGTAAAAAAAGATTTAAGTACTTCTTCGTCTTCAATATTTTAGTTGAGATTAAAAGTTACCACTTAGAAGGCGTCTTACTTGATTCTTTTACACTTGAAGCTAGGGTTGAGCGGCGACACGAATCCCTCGCAGAGAGCGTCGACGCAGTGTTTCTCTTGTAAGTGCTGGTGTAACGCGATTCGGGCTTTAGAAATCTCCTTTTTCTCTTTAACACACTGATTCACCCCTGCAAAGCGTGCACATATTAAATTAACAAATGCAATACTATCGTGTTTTCAAAGACAACATTTTTTTTTAATTTAAATGTTAATTACTGGTGGTAGGACCTCTTGTGAGCCCGCACGGGTAAGTGCCACCACCCTGCATATTTCTGCCATGAAGCAGTAATGCATTTCAGTTTGAAGGGTGGGGCAGCCGTTGTAACTATACTGAGACCTTAGAACTTATATCTCAAGGGGGGTGGCGCATTTACGTTGTAGATGTCTATGGGCTCCAGTAACCACTAAACACCGGGTGGGCTGTGAGCTCGTCCAACCATCTAAGCAATAAAAAAATATAAAAGAAACTAAGTTGCAGTTGTGGTGAAGGTCATCAAGTGGTGTCTTTGAGTTCTGGGCTGACTCTGATACAAAGCGGTCTTTTCGCTTTGTATGTAAGATTAGTCCACAGTTGTGCCACCAATTGAGAGTTCCATCTGGTGTGTAGAGGTCTGGTAGCAGCGGTAGCTTATGACGTCACGCGCTCACAGTCTACCAGGTCTTAACCGAAATCCGTGTGCTAAGTTCGAGTTTTTTAACTGTCTCGATAGCGTAAAAGTTAACTCAATTTTATATGCAGTTAGAACAGCGCCCCTAGCGGCAAACGTAGGCATGTTCCAACTCCATACAAATTTAAGTTCACTTTTACGTTTTTTTTTCCTACCTAAGCTGATGATAGCCTTGAGAGGTTATGTCAGCGTAACTGGGAGAGTAGATGAGCTCACGGGGCTTAAACCGTGAGTGTTGCTAACACTGGCCCTAGCAAGAGCAGTGCTTCGCAGAATCTACCAACGGATCGGAAACGCGACCCACTGAAAAGATCCAGCGAGAAACTTAGCGCGCTGTGTCTATGGGTTAAAGACAGTGACCGGTGATTGAGGTACCTAAAAGCACCATTATTTGATCGAGAGGATCCGTAATGACGCGTGTTACGCTATCGAGAACGTTAAAGCACACAGATACAGTCGCCTCACTGGATCCGAGTACAGAGTAAAAACACTTACATTTAAGTTTCTCCAGACACGTGATCTGTTGCTTGAGTATCTTAATGTGCTCTTGCGAGCCGCGGCAGTACGCCTCGAGCATCAGCCGGAAGCGCACGGACACGGACGGCACGTGCATCTCCGACCTGTCGACGACAAACTCCGAATTACTCTCACGAAATACGTGCCGTACGCATAGCACATTTTTAACTGATGGTAGGACCTCTTGTGAGTCCGCGCGGGTAAGTACCACCACTCTGGCTATTTCTACCGTGAAGCAGTGATGCGTTTCGGTTTGAAGGGTAAGGCAGCCATTGTAGCTATACTTGAGACCTTAGAACTTAGATCTCAAGTTGGGTGGCGCATTTACGTTGTAGATGTCTATGGGCTCCAGTAACCACTTAATACCAGGTGGGCTGTGAGCTTGTCCACCCATCTAAGCAATAAAAAAAAAAGCACGATTACCCTTATTTTAAATTTAATTCAAAGTTATAACTTCGAAACGTTTGTTCCTTCTATCTATTTCAAAACTTGCAGACTAAATAGACATAAAATAAACTATACTAACAAGTTTTCAATAATGAGCACGAGTATATAAATTTCTGTTAACTTATAATTTTTGTTACATAGCACTAATGGAAATTTTAACAATAATTATCTACGCGCCATTTTCATAGTAATTTGGCTCATAGGATATTATTTGTGAAGTAAAAGAAAAATTATGGTATCTGTGGTCACGGTAGATCGTGAGCTTATGTTGTGCCATCACATGGCTCTAGCGTTCATAGACCCTATGCATATTATTATTATTATTATTTTTATTGCCCTTGTAGGCAGACGAGCATACGGCCCACCTGATGGTGAGTGGTTACCGTCGCCCATGGACTTCACCAATGCCAGGAGCAGAGCCAAGTCGATGCCTACCGCAAAAACAAATAGTATGAGCAAATTAACCTTAAATGCCAAAATAAATAGTGTCCAATGGTCATATTCTTGAAGGCTCGCTGCAGGAGGAACACGGACAGGTCACACATGAGGTAGGACTCGTGCTTCAGGGCTTGAACCAACTGGAGGAGGTACAGCATGAGATCGTTATCACTGGAAATGAAACGTTGTTAGTTAGAAAACGATATATAAATATCTTTAGTATCCATAGAATAGAAGAAATGTGACGAGAATGCGAAACGTAAATTTTAAATGAACTTCGATATTTGAAAATTTGGCAAATGTCGTGGCCTAAAGGGTAAGGGGCCCGGTGCCTAGTAACGATGCGACTGTGCCGGTGTTCGAATCCCACTGGTAGTTTCAATTTTTTCTACAGAAATACGTAATTATAATAACATATAGTTCACGAGATATATATCACTGGTGGTAGGACCTCTTGGGAGTCCGCACGGGTAGGTACTACCACCCCGCCTATTTCCGCCGTGAAGCAGTAATGCGTTTCGGTTCGAAGGGTGGGGTAGCCGTTGTAACTAGACTGAGACCTTAGAACTTGTATCTCGAGGTGGGTGGCGCATTTACGTTGTAGATGTCTATGGGCTCCGTAACCACTTAACACCAGGTGGGCTGTGAGCTCGTCAATCCATCTAAGCAATAAAAAAAAAAAAAAGGGATGCCATTCACGAAGAATAAATGACATCGTGTAATAAATAGAAAGCATGCATAATTACTGGTGGTTTGGTATGTGCCCACACTGAAAGGTGCCCTCACTTACCATCGTCTACCGCACAGTAGAACTAATGCAATTCCCTCCGAGGGGCAAAGCAGACCTTATGCAATGCAATTGTCGCTAACCTCGCATCTCAAGGCAAGTTGAGTTATTGTTACTGTGAATATGGGCTTCGGTATTCGTTTTACACCAACCAGCGCGCTCACGCGTTATCTAATATCACAGTTACGTTTATCCATTCTGTAGATATATATCCTATGGCCAGACAAACCTAATTTTTTCCAAACATTTGACAGCAAAACTCCTGACGGCTGCATCAGCGTACGCGTAGTCCAACAGCTCTAAAGCAGACTCCACCCGCAACAGAGGCCACTCGTCCAACATTCTGGGCACGCTGGAGGCCTGAGTTCGTTCACCCCATTCAACACATGACAATAACTTTGGCAGCAGCTCCGGCGTTTCCACTCGAAAGCGTTCTCTGTTCAAAAAAAAGGTATGTTATAGTTATTTTTCTTATTTTAAATTTACTATTAAATATTGTACGGCCGTCTGGTGTAGTGGTAAGTGACATTGTCACTACACAAGGGGGTCGCGGGTTCGAACCCCGCCAAGGGAAGATATTTGTATGATAAATATAAAATGTCATTTCCAGGGTTATGGATGTAATATATATTAAATATATGTATATTTAAATCTTACATTTATTTCGGATCTCTAGTACCTGTAACACGAGTTCTTTACGAACTTAGCACGGGACCGATTAACGCGGGGTGATTGTTAGTAAATATTTGTTTATTATTATTTATTATTATGTAAAAACTAGCATATTTTGCTACAAACTAGCCTCAACGAGCACGTGTTTGTGCCGCACGACACTGAATGTTACCAGACAACAAAACATACATGAATTATTAGACTCACCTCGAAGCCCAAATATCTTTTTTCTCTTGCTCGTGCATTTCATACATAGGATCTTTCTCGGCTATTATACGTAAGCGTTCAAAGTCTCTGCACAGTCTGTCCATCAAGTCCGGGGAGACGCTCTCGATGTGGTCCGAGTAAGCCATCACTGTCTCTTGCTTCGGGAATAGGATAGGATATTGGCAGTCGTAACTAGAATTTGATAAAAAGCATTTTTAGGTTGAGGTCCATTGATAAGCTCCTTCAGGTCGTTTAAGTGTCCAACCACTACCAAATTAAAGTTGATTGAATTAGTTCATTTAGGCTTTTAAAAGTATGAATTCACTAAAAATGTGACAGCCAAATCAAAGAAATAATTTTATTACAAGCTTTCAAACACTGCACTGTTCCTTGTGTGCTTAGTGCGAGATTCCTATGATTTTTTTTTAATAGCTTAGATAGGTGGACGAGCTTACGGCCCAACTACTTAATTAATATGATGATGTTACCGGAGCCCATAAACATCTACAACGTAAATTCCGCCACCTACCTCGAGATATAAGTTCTAAGGTCTCAGTATAGTTACAAGGGCTGCCCCACCCTTCAAACCGAAACACGTTACTGCTTCACGGCAAAATTGGCAGGCCGCTGGTACCTACCCATGTGAGCTCAAAAGACGTCGTACCACCAGTAATTACGCAAATTATAATTTTGTGGGTTTGATTTTTATTACACGATGTTATTCCTTCACCGTGAGAAGTCAATCTTGAACAATTGTTAAGTACGTATTTTACTAGAAAAATTGGTACCCGCCTGCGGAATTCGAACACCGGTGCATTGTTCGATACGAATGCACCGGACGTCTTATCCTTTAGGTTACGACGACTTCGAAATCGATAACTTCTCGAACGCGTAAAAGTTAACTCAAATTTGTATGGAGTTGGAACAGCTTCCCATTGTTTACAGCTAGGAGCGCTGTTCCACTAAGCACACGGCTAAATATCTATACAAATAAATTAAATTGGAGTGTCTGTTTGTAATAATAAAATAACCACTTCTTACTGAGTGCGTAAGTATGTATACCACGGAACGTATACCAAAATATATATTTCTTAATTTTTGTCTGTCTGTCTGTTTGTTCCGGCTAATCTCTGGAGCGGTTGGACCGATTTTGAAGAGACTTTCACTGATAGGTCAGATGATATAAGGAGTAACTTAGGCTACTTTTTTAGACTAGCTTCTCCCCGCGGCTAACATCCCGGGACTCTTTTTTTTTATTGCTTAGATGGGTGGACGAGCTCACAGCCCACCTGTTGTTAAGTGGTTACTGGAGCCCATAGACATCTACAACGTAAATGCTCCACCCACTTTGAGATGTAAGACTCAGCTATAAATAATAAAATTGAATGTTTCCGAAGCGAAGGGCCGGTCGCTAGTCTTCAATATAACAAGTAGGTAGACAGTTATCGACTCACTTGGAGAACATGACCTGCAGCACGGCGGAGTCGGGCGTGGGGTTGGCGACGACGGTGCCGAGCGGGTGCAGCACCATGTCGTCGCCCTGCGTGTCGTCCGCCACGTGCGTCCACATCGCGAGCCGCACGCCGTCCGTGCGCAGCTGCTCCTTGTAATCGAACACCATTGTGTTGGCCCACGTCAATCGATTCACCGGCTCCTGTTCGAATAATGCACAAAACATCTTAGCGTCTCAGTGATAGGAACATTTTGTTGCTCTAAAGATGCATATCGACGCTTGAAAGGCAAACCTGACTAAGCGACAATGCGTGAACTTTACAGTAGACTAATTTAAAGTTAAAATACCTGAAAAAAAATTATATTTTAACGAATCTAGCTGTAGGATTCAAATGATTTTAATAGATCTAGAAATATTTATTTTTTGGGCATCGAATATGATTATTAACTATCATTTATTTACAAAGCAGTTATTGTTGCTTAGTCACCTTTGCCTTTCAAGCGTCGATATGAGCTCACACCCAGACGCCATAACGCGAGTTGTCGTCGTGGCCTAAAGGATAAGACGTCCGTTGCATTCGTGTTGAGCGATGCACCGGTGTTCCAATCCCATAGGCAGGTACCAATTTTTCTAATGAAATACGTACTCAACAATTGTTCACGATTGACTTTCACGCTGACGGAATAATATCGTGTAATATCAAACCCGCAAAATTATAATTTGCGTAATTACTAGTGGTAGAACCTCTTGTGAGTTGGCGCGGGTAGTTACCACCACCCTGCGTATTTCTGCCGTGAAGCAGTAATACGTTTCGGTTTGAAGGGTGGGGCAGCCGTTGTAACTATACTAAGACCTTAGAACTTATATCTCAAGGTGGGTGGCACATTTACGTTGCTGATCTCTATGGGCTCCAGTAACCACTTAACACCAGGTGAGCTGTGAGCTCGTCCACCCATCTAAGCAATAAAAAAAAGAATGCCACTTGAGACACGAGATCAATCGGAATCGTATTGTATAACCGGCGTCCCACAGTTCAAACTCAAACATATCATTGCTTCGCAGCAAAAATAGGTTTAATTTTCCTAACCGTGCGGACTCACAATAAATAAACGGTATAAACTATTATCAATTTACCTTATCCTTTCCTCTCCATTTCGACTTAATCTTTGATAGTTCGTAAATACCGAAACACAGTCTCGCCATTCGCGGTAGGTTGTGAACTTTTATCGGGAATGTCAGCTCTTCGTCCCATGTGGCAACACCTTCTTTCGATATTACAGCAACTTTTGTCTTTTGTACTTCGCATAGCGGCTTGCCACCGTGGAATATCCCGCCTAAACAGACAACCTTGAAAAACACAAATGATATATTAAAAATTTAAAAATTTTGAGTTAATAACAATTAATCATAATTAAAGACAAAAACAAATTTAAAAACTGTTCTACTGGAACTTGAACGATGACGTCATTGTGCAAATTATAACGTTATGTGATGGCATAAAATAACACCTTTTAATTTCACACCATTGTATTCTTTATGATTCTATTCCAAAGAAACTTCTGATCATCCAAGTAATTCATATTGAATTACATTATATGTGAGAAGCCTTAATTCATTGAATAAGATAAAGACATTGGTTACCTCGACCACTCTGCTTGGGTCCACATTGAGTCCGCAAGCGCTTTGCACGCGGCAAGTGTAATTCTTCTGAATGTTCCAAGACGATTCGTTTTTCTTTCTTCGCATAGTGTTCGAATGTTCCGATGTAAGTCTTCTGCGTTCCGGCATATATGGTATCTCACGATCCACTGTGAAACACAATTACTCTTCTAATTATGTAAGAAATTATACAATGGAATATCCGAGATGTGTTAATTGGCTTGAGACTTTTCAACAATTTTATGAAATATTAATGTCTATATTTTTATCAGTACTTGTCTACAATTCCCAAAAGGTGATGCGTCGGTAGCAACGGCAGTGGGTGTAAGCCAATATATGAAAGGCAAGAGAAAAAAAAACTACTTTTTAGATCCACACTCACACAGCGATCACACAAATGAATGGATATTATAAATCAAAAGCTACTACCCATATTACGAGTACTGAGTGTCCATTATCAATGTTAATTGCACAGGTGTCGTGATTACTTTAAACTAAATTTCAAAATTGTCTCTTCACAGTAATAAATTACCAAGTTCATACTCACAGGATAAACGCAATTTATCAATACTGACGGTCATAACTTGAGGCACTCCGTCTACGGCCAGCATCTCTTGTATGTATAAAAACTGTATCAAAGGATAATCCCCGAATAGGTACTCCTCACGGCCGCACACTTTGAGAACGTAATTGTGAGGATGTTCCGACCTCAAATTCATGGAGTTGTTCAACTTTCGAAGCACGATTTCGATGTGTTGCTGAGGAGTCAACGTGGCCGGCACGTTTGATGAGTACGAGGTTATCTGCGAGAAAAAAAAACGCATGAAATCAAGTGATACACTCTCAAAGAAGTTCAGAACAGGATAGAAACCCAACGGTATCGAACACGGCCCTCTTTCATCTCATTATATTGTTATGCCGGTACGAGTAACGCCATCTGTCGTCAAATAGCGAAAATAGATATCGAAATGATTAATACTATCGGAAATGTTCTGGAAAATTGCAGACATGCAGTGTCGACTATAAAGCCGTTGCAAGGACGAAATGAAATTAGTTAGTATTCAGTTCTATTCGCAGCAATATAACGAACGGGTCACCTGAAGCGAAACGAGGAAGTGAATTTTATCACATTTACCTTAAGTGTTGTAATAATTAATTATAGTCTAATTAGAATTGCGGTGAATAGTTTAATTATCCTGATCCCCAGCGCGTTACAATGTTTATAACATTTCTTTAAGTATTATGAATTTCACTACATCCCACATTCAAGAAGCCCAAGCTAGTACATTTTCCAGTATTATAAATCGGAAACACAATTGTGCCATCCACAGATGTTTTTAGTATTTATAATATCATAAAAACCTTCTTGGTAACAAATTGAGACATATTTTGTCAAAACTTACTGACAATTTCATTATAATATACAAAAAAATCGTATTTTAGCAACTGCTCAACTCTTGTGCATAAATACGGACATGTTAAAATCTCATTTTGATATACACAAGGATGACGATGTAGAGGAGGAGTTCGAGCATGAAGCTGTTTCTCATGCCCACGAGGAGGAGGAAGAACATGCTCTTCCTGAAGTGATCAGTGGTCCAGTTAGGAAACTGAATAGATCTGAAGTCAGTGTTAGACTCGGGCTGCTTGGGAAAACTGCGGAAGCGGATGGGTGCGATAGGAACTCTAATAATTATTATTTAATCTATACTAATATATAAATCTACAGTGGTTTTTACGGATGTTCTGTTATAACTACTGAACCGTGCATCCGATTGACTTGAAACTTGGTATCCGTGTAGAAAATACATGTACTTAATGGATAGGCTAATATTTACATGAGTGTTGGCCAATTGCGGGGGCGTTAATGATGAGAATCTTTCTTTTGAGAAATAATAATGTTAATTTTAAAGGCCCAGCGAAGCGGACGGTTACAGCTAGTAGTTCATAAATTTGGTATTCGTTTGACTTGACCTCTATACGCGATAATGTTTTCCAGTCTGGAGAACTAAATGTTCTGATGTGAAATGACGCCTACGCATTAAACCACAAATCACTTACCCTACGAAACGAAAAACATAAAAAAAAAGTTCATAAAGGATTCCATATTTACAGGTACACATATTTAAAAGCGACCTGCACGGACATGAATCTGACCGACATAACAGCCATTAAATATTTTAAGCACCTACAATTTGTCGACGTATCCAACAACAAGTTGGACTTAGAAGCATTGCAAGCGGTGACGGAGCTTCCGCATCTTTTGCTGATACACGCCGACAAAAATATACTTCGATCGGGCGCGCTGAAGAAAATGAAGTACCTCCAAGTCATTATAATGAATTACAACGAATTAACGACAGTTCACGATGTCTTCCAACCAGAGCTCAGCACTTTAGAAGTTGGTTACAACAAAATAAGAAAAATAAATTTCGATAGCAGAATGGAAACTATAAGGTGCTTAGATTTTCGCTACAATTTAATAGAAGACATTATCGGACTTAATTTTCCAAATTTGGACAGCTTGTACTTAGCCGGAAATCAAATAAACAGCTTGATTGGACTTGAGAGTTGCGTGAATTTAAGAATTTTGCATGTTCGTAATAATCCCATAAAGTTGCTAAACGGGTTTGTCCCGGATTTAGGGAGGCTTCAGTATGTGAACTTGAGAAACTGCAAGGTCTCCACTTTGAGGCAGGTCAAGAAGCTGAAGGTAATTTATTTCTTCATTAACCTTTATTCATTTACTTTTTTTAATGAGGCTTTTTACACTGTTTTAAATCTCAGGAGTCAGGATTATCATGAAACAATAACTCTTTCATTGAACCACAAACTAACTTAGCCACCAAAATGCGCATGCGATCGGCTATACGATTTACCAATCGAATTGATTTGGGAGACCTAGCTTTCAAAGAACAGAGATAATGGCGATACTGCGAGGAGCACCACATTAGTCTCTAAAAGTACTTCATGACAACATTTTTTTATGAAGGAAGAATTACTGGCGGCCCGGAGACCTTTCCAGTTTCACCAGGACAGGTGGGCGAGGGATTCATGAAAACCACGACCACCCCTAGACGAATCAAACGACTATAAATTTCCAGAGGGTGGTAAATTATCTAAAATTTAAAAATTCATCTCTCAGGTCCTGCCATCTTTAGAAACGTTGATATTGAAAGGGTGTCCATATATGGGAGGAACTGGGGAAGAAACGCCCGAAGTAGCAGACGAGGAGGAAAATTCTGAATTGAGAGTAGAGATCTTAGCGGCTTTACCTAAATTAAAGAAAATTAACAAGACTGTGGTCACACCTGAAGAGAGGTAACTTTTTTAAATTTTAGTTAAAGCTAGATTTCATTGTTAATAATTTATTCGTTTCTTAATGACCTTTGAATACATTTTTTAAGCATCCCCTCAGTTCTCATAAAATAGCTGTTGCACAACTATACCCCAAAGTGAAATGACACTACAGATCGATCCATTTAAGAAATTTAAACCCCAATGGTTGTACTTTTACATTTTTGACCATTAGAGCCGAAGCGAAAGAATTAATAACGCAATGGATCGAAGATGGTGCTGCAGACGAAGAAGCTGAAGAAGAACAACAACCCGAGGAGCACGACAACGATGATGATTGATCATTAAATATCTTTAATGAATCCTTCGGTTTTCATGTAAGACAACAACTAAACTGTTTGGCGTGTTAGTAGTTGATCGCATTTTTTAATTCTGCAATTGATTATAGGTGTACGTTGTCGGTCTAGAGCAGCTCCACTCCATCTCCTACTGCTGGTGTCATATAAAGCGACTGAGACGTTCACCAGAGAATGGGAAGCAGCATTCTCTGTACATTAAACTACTCAACTTCGAATGCTACCTGATATTTTTTTTTTTTTTTTTTTTTTTTATTGCTTAGATGGGTGGACGAGCTCACAGCCCAACTTTGCTAACTAGTAGGTCTTATTGTACTCTGGCAATGAGGGTAGTACCATGCCTATTTATGCCACGAAACAGTCGCACGATTTGACGAATGGGGCAGACATTATAAGCTGATATAAGACGTTATACCTATAAGCACGATTTATTTATCCATATTAAAATTGTCTAATTAGTTCTTTGACTGAAATTATTACTTGTCTAATTAGTTCTTGTACTGAAAATTCATCTACAAAGTTATTCCTTNTTAAAATTGTCTAATTAGTTCTTTGACTGAAATTATTACTTGTCTAATTAGTTCTTGTACTGAAAATTCATCTACAAAGTTATTCCTTACTTTCAGACGATTGGTCTAAATTATCTTACCTGATTTATAGTTTGATACACATTAACTATAAAAATGTGTTTTCTCGTGAATAATGCAACTCAAATATGTCTACTTTTTTATTTATTAATTAGATGGGTGGACGAGCTCACAGCCCACCTGGTGTTAGGTAGTTACTGGAGCCCATAGACAACTACAACGTAAATGCGCCACCCACCTTGCGATATAAGTTCTAAGGTCTCAAATATAGTTACAACAGCTGCCCCACCCTTGAAACCGAAATGCATTACTGCTTCACTGTAAAAATAGGCAGGGTGGTGGTACCTGCGCGGACTCTCAAGAGGTCCTACGACCAGTGAAACCACTACTGCCGAGATATAAGGTTTTATTCACAAAGGCTTACCTCCATAACTTTGGTAACGAGTATGAAACGCTGGTCATTAAGATGACTCTTCAGTGTTGTCGGGATCTCGGGCTGATCGGCCAGCCGCAGCGGACACTGATACCGGAGACGTTCGAGCGTGGTGCTATGCGTCCGTTTCAGCAAACTCTCCTCGGCCAAATAGCGCATTCGCATTCGATAATCGTTCACTTCTGAATTTTTTAGACTATCAAATACTTTTAGGGCTGTTGACAAGAAAATTAATAGTTGATATTATTCTGTGCATCACTAAACAGATTAAGTGTATCATTTAACAATGGTATAATTGACTAATCAGATACAATTAGTACTTAAACACATTCAATACAAAGAGCTTTCCCGTCAGCAAATTACTGACAAACAACATGTGTTGTGCCAATATGTATGATATGTATCAGTATTCTGAACTATTCTGTTAGTACTTAAACACATTCAAAAAAACGCTTTCCCGTCAGCTAATTACAGACTGTGTTGTGCCAATATGTACGATATGTATCAGCATTCTGCTTATGACTACCATGAAAGAATCACATATTCCATACTTTGAAGGGATTATTTAATTTTCACTTAGAACCATTCTGACTTCCTGATATTATTTCAAAGCTGTATTTGACAACAAAGCATCTTCTTTAGTATCCTTAACCACAGTTGGTAAAATAATAAAGGTAATATTAAGCCATAAAATGAGTTTTAATCATGTCTATGACTTGAGAAAACTAAACAAAATGCTTGAAGGCTCCGAGCTGTGAGCTCATTTGCCTATTATGTCCTATGTTTTTTATTGCCCTTGAGGACAGATGATCATACGCCCTAGCCGATGCTAGGTGGTTACTGTTACCCATGAACGTCAGCAATGCCAGGGGCAAGGCAACTTCGTAATACTGAGGACTCTCCTCAAACCGCATTGGAAGGACATTCGCCATAAATCCAGAAGTTCAAAGGATGGCACCACCCATACACACACACACACCACGATCTGAACTCAGTTCATATAACTGATTTTAAATTGTATAATTAGTATTTTAAAATCCAAGCAATGTCCTTGTTTTCAGAAATATTTCATATACACTTTGTATTTCATATTAAGTGTTAAGTTACTACTCACATTTTCCTATCAAATGTGTGATGTCTCTGTTAAGGCAGTCTTCCGCAGGTCTACCATCTGACCTTTTAACTATAATAAGCACACCACATACAGGTTTGATGTCACATATACGTTTTCTTTCATCGTCTAATTCTTCTGTGACAGCTAATGAGTTTACGAATTGAAAAATATATTTGTTCATTTCAAGCAACATTCCGAATAAAGGATAATTGACTGCTCTGTCCCAAAGATCCTGAAAGATTAATCATAAATACACATTCTTTAAAGTATCCTAAGTTTCCTTTAACACACTAATATAGCTGGTATTTTTATTAATATGAAAAAAAACTTTCAAGAACTTAGTTTACTTAAATTCTTATTGATGAATAAATCTTCGGCACAATATAATTGTCTCGCAATTTTTTTTTTACTTGTTTACATAGTATTATGGGAGGCCACAACTACAATTCGACTGTTGTCCCCCAACATACCTGACGGTAACCATCTCTAATGTCACTAATACACATGTATACAATTAAGAATTGTTTTCACACCCCATATAATGAAACCAAGACACAAAAATAGTGCACAGAAAATAAGTATTGAGCAAAGGAGTTCATTTCAGAACTTTATGATCTACAGAAAAATTGATAGAAATGCATTATAATGTACGGTGGACAAACATAAGAATTGGTAGAAATTTCCCTTCTCTATTGCATTCCAGTGATTTGTGTGAGGAAAAGGGGAGTTGACACCTTCATTTCAAACAAATAAATCTATTTATCTTAAGATCTTGATAACCAGAATATATTATGTGTTAGAGTTAGAGTTAAGTATTGTGAAGTTAACAACTATTTGGGGTGCCAATTTTTATTTAACTTTTGAGTGACTACAATATTCTTAAAAACTTACACGCTAAACCTTGAATATGCATGTCAGCATATTGGACATATGACATGGAACAATAAAACACGTGCAATACATCATTTGTTTTAAAGTCAAAATTTATGGATCTGAGCTCTCGTACTGTAGTAATGATTTCAATTTTGGTTTGATGATATCATAACAGGATAGAAGTTTGAGTAATAAATGATCTAAGATCACCATTGTTTATTGAATTAATAATTCAATTCGACTGATATAGCTATTCATATAAAAATAAGTTGCATAATTAAAATATAGAGATAGCAAAAAAGTTTAACACATTTTAAAATGAAACTTCCTTTTTGATTGCGACTTATAATTTAGTAAGGCGAACATAGAATAATTTGTAAGGATTTTTTGTATATTTATTCATAAGTGGTGTAGAGGTGTTTTTTAATATCATAGCATCCTTCAATTAGATATAAAAGTAATTTGTCTAGTTTAGCAAAGAAGTGTGTATAGTACATTAAAATGAGTGTTTCTCATTAGTAAATAATTTAGTCTTTGTTCTTAAAATTCAACACTATCTTTGTTATTGTAGCTTATCAGTTTGTAATGTATGTAACAGGATGTAAAAGAAATATGAGAAAAAAACTGGTTATTTCTACTGTATCTAAGTAGGATATTGTATAAAATATATATATTTCGACACAACCACCTACATATTCGACAAGAGTGCACAGTTGGTGCAGTGTTTTCTAAATGTAACAAATTATCTTTGTAAACATGTTACTCAATAGTTTGACCCACTTTCTCACGGCACTATCGAAATAGCGTGTCAGCGAGAGGTGTGAGTCACGAGGGTGGTCCTTCCTGTCACTAACCTCTTTGACATCCTCAAAAGTTGCATCCCAACTTTTTCGTAGGGGTATGTACATTGAATTCGGGAGCAGGCACGTAAGTTCTACGCAATCGGACTGCGGGGACATCCAGTAGTCCCACGTATTGGGACAACTCGGCGCAGGCACCATTATTTTGTTACTTTTCCCTATAACAACAATTATTACCCTCGACACATTTCATTAACCACTTAATTCAACTAGCGCGTGTTGTAAAACAGTCGCTGTTGTTTCGCTGCAAACAATGCAATCAACACATCAGAGTTGCTGTTGTACAAATCGCAACGATGTTGATTCTTAAGCATTTCCTGGTATTTTACCAAATCCAAATCGCCATTCGAAATGAGACTGTCAATGATAATAATATTACAATAACAACACATAAACATCGATTTTGCACGTGTTCATTAACATTACCTAAATGTAGAACTTTATGTTTTATTTACTATCACAGCACTAATATATTTTTACGAAATACATAATAATATGTTTTCGAGAAATTGTAAATAAAGATTACGTGCAACAAACTATGTAGGTATGTACCCGACGAGCAAAGCAATAATTATGTATTACTACTCTATAACATTACACTCTATGGAGTAAAGAAAAAACCCATTGTCTATAGCTGGCTTTGGCATCCAAATGTTCAGCGTGACATTTGTCTAGCAGATANATTTTTACGAAATACATAATAATATGTTTTCGAGAAATTGTAAATAAAGATTACGTGCAACAAACTATGTAGGTATGTACCCGACGAGCAAAGCAATAATTATGTATTACTACTCTATAACATTACACTCTATGGAGTAAAGAAAAAACCCATTGTCTATAGCTGGCTTTGGCATCCAAATGTTCAGCGTGACATTTGTTTAACAGATATGGTCATTTTCATTCCACATGTATGTATAAGTAAGGATTCCTGTATGATGTTTATGGAGCCTCTAATAAAATCCACTCCTAGTAAAAGCTTCACACTAAAAACGTTTTGTCCAAATCAGATGTCACTTATGTTGACTGCCTTGATTTTACATCCCAATTATTTTTTCATAGTGACTTCTATTAAATAATTTTAACTTCTTCAGGTGCGTTGAAAGTAAAATTTAACTCCAGACGTCTCGCGAATCAATCAACAAAAGAAATATGATTTAAGGATGAAAAATTAAGAAAGCCACAATACAACACATCGCAAAAGAAGTTTCACTTCTTTCTTTTTTTTTCCTACCTAAGCTGATAGCCTTGAGAGGCTATATCAGCGTCGCCTTAACTAATAGGTGAGCTCACGGGGCTCAAACCTGACGACGTTGCTAACACGAACCCTAGCAAGAGCCGTTCTTCGCAGAATCTACCACCGAATCGGAAACGCGACCCACTGAGAAGATCCGGCGAGAAATTCAGTGGACTGTATTTGAGGGTTAATTTACTGGTCAAGGCCTTCGTCGCAAGCGACGGGTTCGGCGAGAACGATGAACGATGTTTGAGGTACCTAAAAGCATCGTTAGTGGATCGGGAGGATCCGAAATGACGTGTTTGGGGCGACGTCGACTGCTTTCCATTCTGTCCGCAGGATCGGGAACGACTTCTTTCACGTGCACCAACTTGCACGCGCACCGTTTTCTTTATCTCATTTCAAAACAATCAATTTAACCATATCCGTAACAGATTTGGATGGCTAGTCAGTACTGACTGACCCACATTAATATTAACAAAGGAACTAAAGACTTCGTAATATATTTTTAAAATACGTTTCCGAAATAATTTAGTGCTGTTTTACAAAATTAAATATAGAAACAACTTCGAAAGGAATATCTTCGACTTCTAGAGGTATTAGAAATGAATAAGAACGATACTATATTTGTGTGCACTTAAGTAACGAATTTGAAGATCAATATTATATAGCTTGATTGTTGAATATCTATAAAGATAGTTACGCCTCATACTTCTAAATGAATAATACATTTCTCTGGTTAGAAGGTTTGTTTCTTGGTATTGATCTCTACTAAATTACATTCATATAAAAACGAATTAGGCACGTTTCATTTTAAGCAACGCAATCTTTCCGTAAAGTTTTTTACTAATATAAGTTACTTCAGGATTCAACAAACGGTACTGTTAATTTCTTTGTTTGCACTAATGTTAGCCACTGAAGCTTCTTGATAAAAGTACAACACAAAATCGCTGAATGCAGCTTTTGAGTTGTTTTAAAATCCCCACTAAGCGGAGACAATATCTTATGTCTGTCGTTTGATTCCAATTCATTTCATTTCACTTTTACTCGCTCTAATTTATTCAACCGAGTCTATTCGAACAAAGTATTGGCTAAAAGAATGAGGGAGTTCATATAGAGTCCCTTCTTTATTTCGCCTGGTTGTGTTTTATGTAATTAACACCACAGTTGGAACAATATAAATTTTATTGTTGTAGCGGCATAAAGTAATTACATTAAATTGGTTATTATCACATTATAAATTATTTTTATGTTTTTCATATTTTTGGCGGTAAAAAGGTATTGTCACAGACTATATTCTTTTTCCCACATCTCGTGCGTTCCGGCTTACGCATAATAAAACGCCACACCACCCCCCTACGGAGAAGGAGAATCCGCAGAAAAAGAGAAAAAAATATCATAGGTCGAAAGGTTTGGAGAAGTGGACTCTGCGACCTGATCGGGTGGTATATTGAGGTGTATGCGTAGGAGTAGCAGTTAGAGGTGCCGAAGGCACGAGTGGACATGAAGGGACATTAGTAGCATCCGGTTGCGCTGGTTGAGGCACAGAAACCCGCGGTGCTGGTGCTGGAACGAGATCTACTAAAGAATGCTCGACGAAAGCTGGCTTAATTCTGTCGACACTGACCGTCACCTGTTTCCCTTTTACATCAATCGACCACGTTTTTCCGTCCTCGGCTCTAGATATAACTCTATGAGGACCAGAGTAAGGTGGTTGCATTGAACGTCTAACCGAATCCTCCCTGAGCATGACATGAGAGGCGGTGGAAAGATTTTTAAATATGAAAGGTGATGGTTTAGTGTGTGAGGAACATGGAGTGGGACGCAATTTAGACATACGCTGTCTTAACTTTACGACAAAATCCGTCGGGTCCTCGAAGCCAGAAGGACCGGGAGGTACTAACAGTTCCCCTGGAAGCGTTAATGTTTCTCCGTAAAGCAATTCCGCTACTGTTGCTTGTAGATCTTCTTTAAAAGCCGAACGCATTCCTAATAAGACCAAAGGTAATGCATTCAACCACGAATCATCATAACACATCAGAGAGGCCTTTAATTGTCTATGCATGCGCTCCACGAGCCCATTGGCACAAGGGTGGTAACTAGTAGTGCGTATACGTTTAGTACCACATAAATTAGTAAGGCGTCTGAAAAGGTCCGACTCGAACTGTCGTCCCTGGTCGGTAGTGATGACAGCAGGTACTCCGAATCGAGCAATCCAACCGGCTACAAAGGTGCTCGCCACTTCTTCTGCTGTTATTCCGTGNGTCCGCTAGCTCAGCGACTTTGTCCAGCGAGAGTTCTGATTGGGCGGCCAAAATTGCTTGGAGATGTTGTGGGAGGCGACGCATCCATAGCTGGCGAAGCAAATTTTCATCAGTGAGGGTGTTTCCTGCCAATGATCTAAGATGACGTAAAAACTGCGAAGGACGGCGGTCACCCAACTCAACATCACTGACAAGTTGCCGGACACGTTGCTCCTCAGACGTGGACAACCTACGGATCAACTCGGATTTGAGGCGACCATATTTGTCCTCAGGTGGTGGTTGGAGAATAATGTCCTCTACCTCCCCAATAACTCGGGTATCTAACTGAGCAATCACGTAGTTAAATTTAGTCAGGTCAGCGGAGATGCCTGAAATCGAAAACTGTGCCTCTACCTGAGCAAACCAAATTGCAGGCCGATCAGGCCAGAAAGGAGGAAGTTTTATGGCTACTGTGCATACTGAGGTAGGTTGAGGAAATAATGGCTCTGTGGGGGGTGGGTCCGTTTTATCGACGCATTGCATTTTAAATTTTTGTAACTCATCCTTTAGGATGGCATTTTGTTGTTGTAACAGCGTATTTTCTTCTCTTACTAATTGTTCGTTTGCCTCCATCATTGAACTTTACGTATACAATTGTAAAAAAAAAAAAAAAAAAACTAAGCATTTATACAATTTAACAACTTAAAAAAAATAATAATAATAATAAGTAAGGAAGAAAATGAAAATTAATGTTTATGGTAAAAGATGGCAAAATACTGACAATAAGAGGCACGGTAAAACAATGAAATAAAATTATAGTAAACAAGAAAATAGAAATTAGTTAAATACAGATGTGATGTTAGCACCGACTTACATTTCGTGACTATTTACTTTATAGCATTCATGTTGATAAAACCTAAAACTGTAATTATTTTGCCTCGTAAAAACAAATATTTCCTTACTACTAATCGTACAATAATACCTTAATATTATTATTAATTACAATGTTATACTATGAATTGGTGGAGCAATGAAGGCCCGTTAACAAAATATGATTAACTATTGTTACAAAAGGAACCTTTAAATTAAATTAAAATTTTGTTTTTCTTGTTTTTTTTATGTCGACAAAGCTGTTGTATATGCAATTATGTAACAAAATTAAAGTTATAGTATAGGCGGAGAATATGAAAAAGTATTAAGATTAAAATAAAATAAAAAAAATATAAAAACACTTCACGGAGTTAATCAGAAAACACCAAAAAAAAAGAAAATAAGTTCCGTGTTGTCGAATGCCGCACCAGATATTTAACCGCTTGTACTTGATCACTCTGCTGTGCGCGGCGATGCTGCGCCAAGTGTATATGGTTTGTAGACGATCTTGCCTGAATGCTGCGCCAGGTGTATATAGTTTGTACTCGATCTCTATTTGTAACGATTGATCACGTCGGGGTCACCAATGAGGGAGTTCATATAGAGTCCCTTCTTTATTTCGCCTGGTTGTGTTTTATGTAATTAACACCACAGTTGGAACAATATAAATTTTATTGTTGTAGCGGCATAAAGTAATTACATTAAATTGGTTATTATCACATTATAAATTATTTTTATGTTTTTCATATTTTTGGCGGTAAAAAGGTATTGTCACAGACTATATTCTTTTTCCCACATCTCGTGCGTTCCGGCTTACGCATAATAAAACGCCACAAGACTAAAGCCCAGGCTATTAAATAATAATAAGAAGTGAATTCAGTGTTGACAGCTTGACTTTGACAATTTGGCACATGTCTCGTGATTTAATGCCGATTTATTGAAGTAGTTTGGTTATGTCCATTAATCAACTATGAATTTCGCTTTCTACGATTGCGAAATCTAAAATGTTCGAGCACTCAGTCAAAGTACCGAGACACTATAAAGTAGCAGCGAATATCTTAAAAAAAGTTTCCACTGAAGGCGGCAGTGTTAAGACTTTGTTATACGACGATAAACTCCGTCACTTCGTAAGTTTTGATCTCATATTAATTTAGTTATTGCCTTCCATATATTACAATACCCGAGATTTCTGATGAACGCAGAAGAATGAACCACTTACGATCATCGTAAATGTTTATCGTCACTCATAGATTTCGAGAATGGGAGAGAATCAGCCCATTGCCCTGCTCCAATATGTATCTTAAATTATAAACGTAAATAAAAGGATCCGCGTTTGCAATATCTATGATAACGTTACAGAGGACCAATGTGCTTTTTGCACTGATAACAGAGACCATTAAACATTCTGATGTCATTAACAAAATATTTGAAAGCTGTGACATACTGCAAAATGAAATCCGACTAGATCCGTGGCTAGCGAAAATACTCACAGCAGAGCTGCTATATGGTAAAAAAGTTTTACCGGGAAAAAGTAAACCAGAGCAAACAATCTCATCTTACAAAGAAAATTTTGAAAAATATCTATCTGAACATCAAGATGATTCGCAGATTCAAGGTAATTTTTGTTTTCAGATTAACTAAGAATGGCGGACGGTGATGATGGTCCACTTATACCCATCCAAACAAAGTTAGCTGTAATAGTGCTTGCAAAATTATTTGTCTATAGTGTGGCTATGTTCACATTACCATTTGTTGCATTTTTTGGTGTTCGCTACTTACTCTCTGATTATTACCATTTGGAAACATTTGTGGTGACTGTGTGGTCTGTTGCCGCAGCAGTGTTAGTAGTCAACATAATAATAATAGCATACGCATATCAGGCTTATCATGAGAAAGAATATGATGAACATGGAAACGAGATTGATCAGCATTCATACAATCCCAGTCAAGTAGAGTCCGAAAAAAGCTCCTTAAACTTGAAACAGGATTAATTTTTGAACATTCCAGTATTGTAATTACAATGTACCACAAATGTAGTATTATTTTATTTCCATTAAGTGATATTGAGTGTATTGAGAAAAGCAACTTTCCACTTTTCAACTTTCATAATACGAAAATGTACTGAGAGGTAAATAAGTATTAATAAATTTTTATTTAAAATTTACTGGTTTCAATTGATATTAATAATATTGCTAGTAATGAATTTATAGACTAGTAAAAAATATTTGCAACACACTATTACATTAAAAAAATATACTTTAACATCTAAAAATATGATCCTCAAGTGGTTCTAATGATGTGCCGTTAAGCTGATACTGCACATAAAAGCATTGTTATAGCACATAAAGAGTGACCAATCAGATCACTTGATGAGTTATAGGTCTACCATAATAAATTTTGTATTAACACACAAGTAACTTTAGATATTGCTAACAGATCACAACCATTCTTATGGCCTCGATCATGCACATTCCACATTCAGCTGGTGACCTTGTGTACCTTATTCAGCAGGCAGACATGTTGTAAATAAATAGCAAAGCTTTTACTGTGAACTTCACCATCATAAGCATCTGGCATAGGGCACTTTTGTTGAAAGCTTTATACATTTTGGTAACTACTAGTGGTAGTGGGTAAATTAAGCCCGCATAAGTAGTTCCCATCACCATGATTATTTCTGCTACATGCCAGTCATATAATCCAGTTTGAAAGGATGAAGATAGCTTTGATACTATATAATTTAGACTTAAAGCTGATCTGTCAAGTTAAATGTCGTTCACATTATAATGATTATCGAAATATTGACCGCAAATATTTTAACATAATTAGTGGTTACATACACTTTACAATTACAACATCATGAAAAGCGGACCATTGCAAATTCAATATTGAAACAACATCGTTTTTGTATTCCTGAAATGTAGATGTACAATTTACTAATTTTGTATTGCATTGCGTTTACAAAGTCCGGGTTTTTTATTTATTTATTGCTTTGATGTGTGGACGAGCTCACAGCCCACCTGGTGTTAAGTGGTTACTGGAGCCCATGGACATCTACAACGTAAATGCGCCACACACCTTGAGATATAGTTCTAAGGTCTCAGTATAGTCACAACGGCTGCCCCACCCTTCAAACCGAAACGCATCATTGCTTCACGGCAGAAATAGGCGGGGTGGTGGTACCTACCCGTGCGGACTCACAAGAGGTCCTACCATCGGATTGTGTACTTGCATGTTTTATTATTAAGATTCTCTGATCTAAAGATCATAATCTAAGAATCATATTTTTTTTGTGTATTCACTCATACTAGATGTTCCAAAACCTCGTTACGTGCGCATAAACACGAACTTGTTGACAACATCGGATGCAATCAGAGCCTTCCAAGATGAAGGGTACCACTTCGTTCGCTGTACCTCAGGATCCTATGAAGACTACCTCAAGCAGATTCAAAATCTTTCCGAGGAAGACTTCACCCAGGATTATCATGTCAAAACAATATTTGTATTTCCGCCGGGAACTAAACTACATGACCATGAACTTTATTTTGAGAGCAAAATTATTTTACAGAATAAGGTTAGAATTTGTTTTTTTTTTACCTGTGAAAGCCGTTAAGCCCTCCCGAAGCTGTGACTGTTGCTTTTATTCAAAACATCCATTTTTTTACGTTCGTTTGCGTTATCGTATGTCTTTTTTTGTAACATTTTTTCTAAATTTGAAACTTTAAATGGTTCTCTTAAAAATCTGCAAAAATGTCGCTTTTAAATTAAATACTCTTTCACCCCTCAACGTGTATGTACTTCTTGAAACAATATTTGAAGTGGCACGTCATAAATTCACCCTTTTTCTTTTTTTCGCTTTCCAACTAGGTACCCCTGTTGCTTGGTTTATCCTTCATAGGATTTCGTTGTTATTTTCTTGCAGGCAACGGCCATGGCGGTTCACTTGCTGGCTCCTCCTTCTGGTAGCATAGTTTTGGACATGTGCGCCGCACCCGGCATGAAGACAACCCAAACAGCAGCGTATATGAGAAACAACGTAGGTTCTAACTCAGACAAGCGCTAATTTTCCAAAGGACATTCGTGAAACTTTTTTTTTTATTGCTTAGATGGGTGGACGAGCTCACAGCCCACCTGGTGTTAAGTGGTTACTGGAGCCCATAGCCATCCACAACGAAAATGCGCCACCCACCTTGAGATATAAGTTCTAAGGTCTCAAGTATAGTTACAACGGCTGCCCCGCCCTTCAAGTCGAAACGCGTTACTGCTTCACGGCAGAAATAGGCAGGGTGGTGGTACCTACCCGTGCGGACTCACAAATCCTACCACCAGTAATTACGCAAATTATAATTTTGCGGGTTTCATTTTTATTACACGATGTTATTCCTTCACCGTGGAAGTCAATCGTGAACATTTTGTTGAGTACGTATTTCATTAGAAAAATTGGTACCCGCCTGAGATTCGAACACCGGTGCATCGCTCAACACGAATGCACCGAACGTCTTATCCGTTAGGCCACGACGACTTACAGTGCCGATCATAGCATAAGTGTACACTTATGCTATGATCGGCACTAAAAAAACTTATTGGAATATAGAGATTATACTTAGATACATAGTATGGTCATAAGCTGATTTTTTTAAATTTAAAATATTACTCAATATCAATATGATCCTATGTAGTTCACAGAGACTACACACAATTAGCCTCGAGAGGAGATGTCGAGATATCAGTTTGAAACCTATGAATCTAAGAGGAGAGAAAAAGAGGGATTAGCACTTTATGTGTTGTATCCTATTATCAATAGAGATGTTTACAAGAATTATTTGATAATAACGTTAAGTTATTTTTATCACTTTTTTTCTCTACTGCGTTGTAGAAACGTAGTATTTAAAGGCTTCTCAACTGTATTCCTGCTGGTTTTATAAAACCATGTTTATTTATAGATGCTTATTTAATTAACATTTGCAAGTCGATTTTGTTTCTAAGAACCCACATGTTTTTATTTTAGGGTAAAATATACGCAATCGAGAGAAACGAGAAACGATTTGAAACGTTGCGTGATTTCGTTAACAAAACCGGGTCTCATTGTGTCGAACCAATCCACCGAGACTGTCTGGAGATTAAGAAAGGAGAATTCGATGACGTGGAATATATACTACTGGACCCTAGCTGCTCGGGATCTGGTAAAAATTTAATTAACCTCATCATCGATCTTTTGGTTTATAACCCTCTAACACGTCTTAAAACAAAGCAATTCGATTATTTTACATTTTGTATCGATAACTCGTTAATTCACTTTTCAATATACAACAATTAACTGTGAGATGGTTTTTGTTCCTACTTCAGGTATGGATATAAGCGTTCACAACTATATAGAAGAGAGCAGATTGGCGAAGCTCACGTCTTTACAAGAGAAATTTTTGAAACACGCCATGAACGCTTTTCCCCGAGCCAAAAGGATAGTGTACAGCACATGTTCGTTGTTCCCCGAGGAAAATGAAAGGGTCATAACCAATGTTGTCAAGACATCGAGGACTAAATGGAGAGTGCAAGATGTTAAGGAATTACTGAAAGGCCAGTGGAAGAACTTCGGGTCAGCTATGTACGGAAGCATGGGGACCAGGTGTATGTACGCCCGGCAGGATTCAGATTTGACTACAGGCTTTTTTTTAGCGGTTTTGGACAGAGACCCTAAAGATCTAGAGAAAAGTTTGAAAAATCAAGAACAGAATGGTGAAGTAGTTGAGGAGGAAGTCTGTGAGAAAGATAAAGAATCAAAAGCCGATTATGAACAAGATAGGGACGTGAATGAATTAGATACGCAAGTAGATTCAGTACAGAAACGAAAAAGGAAGAAAGAGAGATCAGACGAAACTCACTCAACAATTATTGATTCAGAAGGAAATAATTTAATAGTTGATACTATGTCTGAAGACAATGCCTTAAGGGTGAGTGAATCAGAAACATCAAAGAAGAAAAAGAAGAAGAAAAAATCAAAAGATACTGAATATTATTCTATCGAAATTACTACTGAAAATAACATTGACATTAATGAAAAACATAACAAAATGCTAAATAAGAATAAAGTATACGACACAGTTAAATGTGAAAATACTGAAAAAGACAAACTGATTGTGGATGCCGACTTAGAAGAACCCGTCAAAAAGAAGAAAAAGAAAAAAGATAAGCGTGACGAAACAGAAGAATATAATGTTGAAAACGGTAATGCAAAAAGGCAATCAAAAAAGAGAAGTAATAACAATGATTTTAATGAAATTGCAGAGAAGACAGAAAATATTGAATCAGACAAAGTACCAAAAAAGAAAAAGAAAAACAAAAATTAAATGTCCATTTTAAATGGTTTATACTTAAATAAAACGAAATTTGCGAATAAAATTCATTTGTGTGTTTTTAATAAAGCAATTGTTAGGGTGTGATTATAAAAACATTAAACAGCGTCTTCAAACCATATAAGAAGATTACTAAATTAAACCCGTTAATAGTCCATTTACCTATAGTAAAACCCAGTGAAGGTCATTGTTTGAAAAAATACCATTTATTGGGAGGTTTAAAATTGAGTCTGAGTGATTTTGAAATTAATATCATTAAAAATTTTAAAACGCCCGTAACGATGATTACGTAAAATCAAGTTGGCCTTAATCTAACCAGTCGTTAATGTGTTCACATTGTCAGTCTAGAATTTTTGGTAATAATTGCCTTCTAAAACCTGCCTTTTCTGTCTATCGATCCAGAATACACAAATGATTCGACGAACACACGAATTTAAAATCAGACGGTTACAACCACCCGTATAATTAGGCTCAAAGGACTTAGTTACTACTAGTACCTTTTACCGTAAAATGTAACAATGGCGTCAGTTAAGCCATTAAAAAGGTGAAATTCTCAGAATGTAGGTCCACACATGAGTACGAAGTATGTGCCGGTACCGCTGTGTACAGACCTTATCTCGTCATTAAATACCGCTCGTAAATGGGGCAAACATCATGCGGCGATACTTATTTCGTCTAGCCACTGTTTCTGCGAAGTCACCGCATTATTTTTCTTTGTTCAATTCATGTGCTACAGCAATATGTACTTTATCTTGAAAGGAATTAGTTCTTTTTATAATCGATCAAGAACAATGGTCACCACACGCCATTCTGTCACGAATATACGTCGCGCGCCCTTATTTTTTTCTCAGTGTAACGGTTATTATGCAAGTAGGTACTTATTTTTTGAGTTATGAATATTTTTTCTAAATTTCCTCACACACTTCTTATCGTTAAACAGCAATAAAGAGGTCATAAAAGTGTTTCAAAAACTAGTTATTTTTAGGTTAGATTGTTAAATTAATAATTTTACATTGTTTAAAAGTCTCAATGTAAAAGCAATTGAATTCAACTGAATCAAAGCAAATTTCAAATTTAAATATCATAAACAGATGTCAGGAAAGTATACTTATTTTCTTTACGAATTTAAAATGTATCTTTAACTACATACATAACGCCCCGAAAAAGTATTCAATTAGGTCAACGGTCCGGCGTCCCGGGGGGGAGGGCGATGGGAGAGATGTGCTCCGCACTAAAACGCTTCACTCTCCCCCCTTTCCCTTTTCATGAGTTCTATCTCATGCGAGGTTTGGACGTTGAGCGACAGGAGGTTTTAGTCGGTTCGACTCCGACATGCTCTTTTTTTTTTAGGACGACTCAGGAGGGTAGAATAAAGAGAATCGTCCTTGAGGAGGCCGCCTCCGTGATTCTCGTAGTCAGGAGTGTTACCATTGCTGATTCGACCACATTTTACCTGATGACTCCGCCGCTATTTACAAAACCAATTTAGAAAACTATTTTCTTATTTGAAGGACAAATATACTTTCATTCTATATTCTAATAAATTAAAATATTAAAAAATTAAAGTACCTATTCTAATAAATTTCATCAAAATTGATTCTTCCAACAATTTATTTGTTTAAAAACAACTATGTAGGAATTCGGTGTACTCATACTAACTACTATATACAATAGCAATCTGTTTGAACTTTTTTAGATTATTTCTCATTATTGTGATTAACATGATGGATGGATGATAAAAGTTTCCAAAGCTTTTTACGTTGAACACATTAAAGCTCGTTAATAGTAGTACAGTCATTATTTTGGTGTTGTTTATTTAAAAAAAGCAGTTGCAAAGCAAAGGTGAAAGACATTAAAGTGTTTTGACTGTAGATACCTATTTATTAGGTTAGTCTTTATTAGATCGTCTGTGGTAATGAAAAAATTTTGAAGTCGTCGTGGCCTAAATGATAAGACGTCCGGTGCATTCGTATGAAGCGATGCACCGGTGTTCGAATCCCGCAGGCGGGTACCAATTTTTCTAACGAAATACGTACTCAACAAATGTTCACGATTGACTTCCACGGTGAAGGAATAAAATAGTGTAATAAAAATCAAACCCGCAAAATTATAATTTGCGTAATCACTGGTGGTAGGACCTCTTGGGAGTCCGCACGGGTAGGTACCACCACCCCGCCTATTTCCGCCGTGAAGCAGTAATGCGTTTCGGTTCGAAGGGTAGGTTGGCCGTTGTAATTATACTGAGACCTTAGAACTTATATCTCGAGTTGTGTGGCGCATTTACGTTGTAGATGTCTATAGGCTCCAGTAACCACTTAACATCAGGTGGGCTGTGAGCTCGTCCATCTATCTAAGCAATAAAAAAAGAAAACAAAAAATGTTAGACGAAACTTATCTATATCACATCAAAACAACTTACCCAATATGTATGCTCAGTTATTTTGGAAAACAGCGTACACAAATATACTTCAACTATAATATTATAAAGTACAACTATCACGTATTACTGGTGGTAGGACCTCTTGTGAGTCCGCGCAGATAGGTTACCACTACCCTGCCTATTTCTGCCGTGAAGCAGTAATGCATTTCGGTTTGAAGGAACAACCACTTAACACCAGGTGGGCTGTGAGCTCGTCCTCCCATCTAAGCAATAAAAAAAATTCTATGTAAGCTAATAAATCTAAGTACGGCATCACGACTTTAATTAGTTAAATTATTTGTTGGCATTCTACTGTAGATTTTTTCACGATTTCTACGTTTTGTAGTATAAATGTTTCAGCCTATACTTGTAATAAGTAATTAACCCACTAAAACACTATTAATCATTAAGATAAACTAACCCGTTAAAATAAACACATTTTCACTACAATTTTCTGGGTCAAATAATTCTTTTGGGTCGCTGGCTATTTACATTCACTTAAAATTTCCTTATCAAGTTTACCCTTGGTCTAATTAGGAAAACAAGTCACCGGTTCATTTGAGTATTTCATAATTCGTGTAATAAATAACAAAATTTATTGATTAATAGTAAATAATATTATTTAGTAATATGCGTTATTGCTAAGGGAGCTGCTGATAAAAATTATTTACTTAATTTACTGGTGGTAGGACGTTTTGCGAGTACACACGGGTAGGTACCAATACCCTGCCTATTTCTGCCGTAAAGCAGTAATGCATTTCGGTTTGAAGGGCGGGGCAGCCGTAGTTAAAAGTGAGACCTTAGAACTCATATCTCAAGGTAACGTACGATACGATACGTATATTATCCAACAAACTAAATCAGACAAACAGATCTGGTCAACGTACGAACGATAACTGCTTACGTCATTCTCTCAATGGTACTAATACTTATAGCAGGATAATAATAAGTACTTTACGTTTGCCCGTAGCAATACATCGACAAAATCTTCAGATTCGAAGCTTATGTAACATTATTTTAATCTAAAACTATAAGACAAATCTAAGGAAAATTCTAAACTAACTACAAAAAAAAAACAATTTATAATTAACTCACATTTTTTTTCATATCAATCATTCGTATAGATCCAAACCTTACTTTTGTAATTACGTAGTAGATATAATATTTAACAAGCGGCACCGGCTCCGCTCGGGTCTTTAACAAAAATTTCAACGATATTTGATTTATTTTTTAAAATAAACTTATTGTGGAATAACTATAATAGTTAAACATATGTTGTCGCAACACTTTTTGTAAATAATAATGTGTTCTACAAAGTAGTAGTAAATTATTTTATTCGGACGGAGGCTAGTTTCTATGAATTGACGGTAGTTCTTTTGACGTTCAACAAGCATGTTCAACAATCATTTATGTTGAATAATTTTTTTTTGATTTGATTTGATTTGAATTCTCTTGTGGATTTACTCGCCTTTTACGATACCTATGGATAAAGACACGACGGTGGTATTCTATGTCAATACTACACAGCTAATGATAAAATACCAACAGTAGGTACAATTTAGCTATCATGCCACTAAAATTTGGCACGACTCATTATTATTATGACCGTCGTCTTTTATTAATTCAAAACTCAAGGATAGTAATAGTTACTCTCAATAAAGGATTATTCTTCACAAACGCTCAATCGCTTTTCTATGTACATATTTCTTCTAGGGCTCCGATCTCTCGAAAATACATATCGACGCTTGAAAGGCAAACGTGACTAAGCGACAATGCGTGAACTTTACAGTAGACTAATTTAAAGTTGAAATACCTGAAAACAAAATTTATTTTAACGAATCCAGCTGTAGTAGAATGTAGCTAGTAGCTGTAGGATTTAAATTATTTTAATAGACCTAGAAATATATATTTTTTGCACATCGAAAATGGTTATTGCCTATCATTTATGTACAAAGCAGTTATTGTCGCTTAGTCACTTTTGCCTTTCAAGCGTCGATATGGTCGAAATCAATGATTTAAACAAATCTAATAGCTGCTAAAACTTACCTATGTGCCTGTAAGATTTTAAAATCAATTAGAATTCGAATAGTCGACTTTGTGACGAAAGCCATCGCAGAACACAAGATATTTGACAGATGCCTGAATCTCGTTTACGACATTTTCAAGATAAGCTTGCATGTATGTATACCTACCGATTACCTAGCCGTTGGTGTGATCAAGTAACCGCTCTAACTGGGTTGCCAGTCGCAACCGCCATTCGAGCAGCTGAAGACCGGACGAGATGGAAACAGCTCACGAGACAGGCAACGGTCAAGTTTCAGGGACACGACCTTCAGCAATGAAGAAAGCGACGAAGAAGAATACCTACAAATTCCGAACAACATTCGGACCGTCGATCCACCGAGCAAAACCATCCTTTCGGTGGAAGATCTTCCCTCCATCGTCAAACATCCCACAACTTCAAAGCTTAAATCATAAATATCTGACGTTGTACCTTTAACTTCGAGATATTTCAATATCATGCATACATTGAATATAAAATCTATGAAAAATTTTGTATTCGTGGTTTAGCAACGTGTCAACTAATTATCGTGTAGGCGGACAACGTTACTTTCAGAGGCGTGTCATCCGAGCAGAGCCTCAACCAATAACAGACCGGAATTCCGATAATATGACTCGGTGTCACTCATTGCCTGTCACCATTTTATAAATAACCCAATTAGAACCTTATTTTGATGTTTCAAAGGATTTAAAATTCTAAAAGTGAGCTTTCAATACTATTTAAAGTCTACAGTGTTAGTGCCTCCTCCGCATTGTATATATAAAACTTAAAATACTTTAATGGTTACGATTAAAATTGAAACTGAATCAAGACTGGTGCCAGGGGGTATCGTAGGCCCGCCATTTTTCCTGTATCTGTTGCGAAACAATCAGACATTAATATATTTATTTAATAATATTTATTTATTGTTAGCATAGAAGTAGAACACACAATCATAGCTTTGTGCTTGTGCTCGAATTAGGTGATAAAGCCAGACATTACGTCTTAAAGGATGTGAAAGGCGTTTTACAATAAAATTGAGAGCTCAACCACATATCTCAAAGTGGGTAGCGACACTCACGTTGTCATGTCTATAGGCTTCGATTAATAATCTACGAGATCCTTAATCCAAGCAAGTAAGCATTGAAAAAAATATATACAATACAAATTCTTTTAATTGCTTACTAATGACTAAGCATCCTTTAGCACAAAATATTTGAAAACCATTAGTAAATATTATTACTCAAAAAAGTAATATGCAGAACACAGAGAAGAATATAAAAAACCAGTTAAATTAAGAACGCGCGCGAAGTACAACGCCATCTACTGTCAAATGGTGGAAACGCATATCGAAAATACTCGACTTACCCAGAATGTTCTCAATAAATCTAGGGATCCATTTCGACTATAAAAGTGTTGCAGAGATAGCACGTAGGCAGTCAGTAATCGGAACTACTGTTCGTAAATGTTGAATACAGTTTTAATTTATACTTTGGTTGAATTTTTATTTATCCCGAACCCCAGTGCGTAACAATAATATTAAATTTAATATATTTTTACGGATTAAGCTCGCGTTTGTTAGTCATCGATCGTCCGTAATCACGAAAACTGTAAATAATTCGAAACGACGGACCTAATGACAATAAAAAACTCAAGATCAAAGGAAACCGTAAAAGTAAATTTAATAACGTCTATGAATCCCGAGAACCAAAGAAAATATACTATACAAAATTTATTGAAATCATTGTTAGCGCGATGCAAGTATCTGTAAAAGTTGGGCCGTTCGCATAAGCAACTTAAACTATATGAATACTATAGATCGCGTGCCGTCTTTCACTATTTATTATCGCTAACAACATCAGACGTGATAAGTCATTTATTATAAGTATTTATATGAAGGCGTCCATTTCTTATGTCTTAGCGATGACCTAATTCCTATAAATGAAATACTAATTCGTTTAGAAACTACACGAAAACGCTATAATAAAATATTGTCAAACAATGATTTAGTAAAAAAATATTAATTGAGATTGTAACTTTGTTAAGTAGAATAATCGAACACGTGGTATACGACAGCAAAGATGTCATGTATCTTGGAATTGTAATATCTGGATTGGATACGTATTTTATGTAAGTATGTGTTTGAACAATACCAAATATGTCTATATATATATTATTACATTTATTCATCTTATACCTTTAAACGAGCAATTCTTGTATATTAATATATATATATAATCTGAATCTCGGAAACGGCTCCAACGATTTTCATAAAATTTAGTATACAGGGGCGATAAATCGATCTAGCTACGATTTATTTTCAGAAAATGTTGTTTTATTCGTGTTTTCAATAATCAACTCTTCCCGACATCTATTGGCGAATAATAATAATATTTTTCCGCTTTAAAGACACAACAAGATGGCGTTATCAAAAAAAAAACCGAACAAAGCTCGGTCATCATCTATTAAGTATTTATAACACGAAAGAATTCGATGTAGCCATTGTGTGTTCTACGCAGTGTCTACGACGTAGCATTAATTCTCTACGACGTATTTGGTTCGTACAAGCTATTTGATTCAAATTTAAATATAAATTTGTGAATTTAATAACCATAAATAGCACGATAATTTATACTATCAATACTAATATTATAAATGTGAATGTAAATTTGTTTTTTAATGTTCTCTTAGAGAGTCAACCGCATTATTTTTTTTTGCTTAGGTGGATGGACGAGCTGGTGTTAAGTGGTTACTGGAGCCCATAGACATCTACAACGTAAATGCGCCACCCACCTCGAGATATAAGTTCTAAGGTCTCAGTATAGTTACAACGGCTACCCCACCCTTCGAACCGAAACGCATTACTGCTTCACGGCGGAAATAGGCGGGGTGGTGGTACCTACCCGTGCGGACTCACAAGTGGTTCTACCACCAGTGATTACGCAAATTACAATTTTGCGGGTTTTTGGTTTTTATTACACGATGTTATTCCTTCACCGTGGAAGTCAATCGTGAACATTTGTTGAGTACGTATTTCATTAGAAAAATTGGTACCCGCCTGCGGGATTCGAACACCGGTGCATCACTACATACGAATGCACCGGACATCTTATCCTTACCACGACGAAGTAAAATTACTTTTAGAGTTAAATCTCGCATATTTATGGTCATTATATCATTTCCGATATTTCGAATAATTTAGTTTTCGTGGTCTAATGACTAATGTGTGTATTCATCGGGATTTAATATTGTTCTGGCTAAGATTTATTTTTCCACAAAAAAAGTCTAGACTTACATTTCCTTCCTTTTCAAAAATGATTGAATGAATCAAATTGCGCAACTAGGACACACGAATATCGTAAATTAAATTAAAAATAGTCAATCGATTATCATAAAATTTTACAAACACCGTGTCAGTGATACCTTTCATCCAGATCAAAATACAATTTCCGAGCGATCAGTTATTTCTTACATTATTAAAAAGTCACATGTACAAGCTGTGAATCAGTTAATAAATAGTATAGTTTAAAATATGTGCAAATTTTGAAAAAAAATCGACTGTTTTCAAACACAATATACTTCAGCTTTCCAAAAGAATAATGAAATAAAAATAGTATATGTAATAAAAACAAAAATGAATTACTTAATTTAATTGTTGATTCACGTGCTTGAAAAACTGCAAAATCAGTAATTAAAGCCTGTTATAACGACGCCAAACCCTTCCTAATTTGAGGGCGGAGGAGTTATAGCGATAACCTGTAAACAGCGTCACATGGCGTGATTTACGCCTGTGCATTACAAATAACGCTTTAACCCACTGCAACAGAGTATAAATTAAAGCACTACAAAATAAAAATGGTCGAAACGCCAAAATCAAAATTGAACTTTCTCGTTATTCTACAAACAAGTAAAATCGAACTCAGTTCAAGTTGCTGTTTTGAAAATAATTTGTACTTAGTCGTAAGTTTATCGTTTTTAGATAGATTTTAGAATGATGCGACTTAGTTACTTAGAGCCAATGTTGGCCGAGTATTTAGATCAATCATTGAGTTTACTGAGTTTAAGTTTGGTGATCAAAACGAGGCGGAAATAATAATGTAGTGTAAAAATGATTAACTATTTATTAGTTAAGCCTATTATTAGTTAAATAACACGAACTGGGTAACGTTAAGGTCGCAACACATTACAACACTGTTGCGATAATTTATTTGTAGGTTTTGTTACATTAGACTCTTAAACGCTATCGGTAGGTAAATAGTACTGTGTACTTAGTGCGAGTTTTTTAACGCTCTCGATAGCGAAAAAGTTCACTCAAATGTGTGTGGAGTTGGATCGTTTGCCTACGATTGCCGCTAGGGGCGCTGATCCAACTGCGTTAAAAAACTCGCACTAAGCACACTGTGCAGGGCACAATGCTAGTAGAGCATTTTTTTTTATTTTATTGCTTAGATGTGTATATGTCCGTTGTAACCAATTAACCATTATAACCAATTAAACTGTATCTAGTAAATATACATAACTATTGCGCAAGTCGAATCTAAAATGAAATCATAAAATGTATTTTTTAGACAAAATCATATTATCATGGCTTTCTTTGTTTTCAAATAAATAAAATTTTTAATAAATATTTTTTTGTTCTTCGTACTATCACAGTATTTATTCAAAAGGGTTCCACTTCAAGAATTATTTATATTATAGTTTATTGTATAGTATTATATAATATTGTATTATATAGAATATTTTCATACAGTATTATCTCTTCGGTTTCCGCGACAGTTTTCGTCGTCGCGGTCGACCAAGATTTTACATACTCATCCGTCGCCACGAAAACTGTAAAGTATTCAAAACGTGGAAATGAACTCAATGACAATAGAAAACGCAAAATTAAACTGTAAAAATAACTTTAATGGAATCTTAAAATATTGCAAGTTCTTTCTCTGCATTCTTTGAACGCTTCAACGATAAAGTTCTTTATAGTGGTGTTTTTTTTTTATTGCTTAGACGGGTGGACGAGCTCACAGCCCACCTGGTGTTAAGTGGTTACTGGAGCCCATAGACATCTACAATGTAAATGCGCCACCCACCTTGAGATATAAGTTTTAAGGTCTCAAGTATAGTTACAACGGCTGCCCCACCCTTCAAACCGAAACGCATTACTACTTCACGGCAGAAATAGGCAGGGTGGTGGTACTTACCCGCGCGGACTCACAAGAGGTCCTACCACCAGTAAATATTATAGTGGTGTGAGAGCTTCGCTTCATGGTGGTGTAACAGCTTAATCGCGGGTGCGCTGGCCGCTGCCACCTTACGAGGTCAACCGTCCGCCCATGCTATTCACAGTCACTCGTTCCTGATTACAAAACCAAAGCGGACGACTACACAATAAATATCTTTAAACAAACAAATTTAATACACGAGCAGCGAGCAAATAATAATCCGAAAATAAATTTAAAAGGCCGCCTTAAAATTCCCAGCCTTCTGCGTTGTGGTGTTTGTGTAATATTAATTAATAAAAGTGTTAATAATAAGGTAATATTCTAATCAGGTAATGCTTCGTTAGGTTAAAATGGCTTCCGAAGAGAGCGGTAAAGCTGCGGCTGCTGTGGTGAGTTTAATATAAAAAAACAATCGTTCGAGAAATTTAAATACAAAATTATCAGATTAAATCAAAAACATTTTTCTAGCATTACGCCTGGACTACGCCTGGAACTTGTTTTGTTCTTTATTGCTCTAGGAGATACCCGAGATCACCGTACGTTAAGTGGTTAGTAAAACCCATAGACTGTATGTGAATATCAAGACACGACATACCTTGAGATTCGACATCGAAGTCTTAATGGCACTGTATAATTGCTTTGCTATTCTTCAAATTAGAAAGCACAGAGCGCATCAGAAATAGGCATTTTAACTGTCTGAATACACACAGAATTGAGATGAGTTCAAATAATGTTCTCGGCAACTAATGCCTTATGACAATGCAAACTGAATCTTGCATTGTTGCAAATCTTGAGTCTCGTGTCTCCGTAGCGACATCTGTAATCCATATATAGTAAAAACTGTACTGTCACTAGAAATGTCCGCCATCTAGGTATTTTCGATAATAAATTTAAGTTGAAATGGAACCTAAAAACACTTCCACGCATTGATTCGTAAAAATAGTTGTGGGGTTGTGTTTGTAACTAAAGATATTTGTCCTTTAAGTAAAAACTTTGTAAATATTTATTTATTTGATTGGTGCTAGCGGACGAGCACACGGCCCACCCAATGGTTAATGGTCACCGTCATAGGTGTATATCAGCAATGTCGAGAGGACAATCTATCCTTTTTTTTTGTTTCTAAAAATCTTCTGTGTAATTTTTTGTAACATTTCTGACATAATAATTATTTGCGTAATTACTGGTGGTAGGACCTCTTGTGAGTCCGCACGGGTAGGTACCACCGCTCCGCCTATTTCTGCCGTGAAGCAGTAATGCGTTTCGGTTTGAAGGGTGGGGCAGCCGTTGTGACTATACTGAAACCTTAGAACTATATCTCAAGGTGTGTGGCGCATTTACGTTGTAGATGTCTATGGGCTCCAGTAACCACTTAACATCAGGTGGGCTGTGAGCTCATCCACACATCTAAGCAATAAAAAAATTATATATATATATATATTTTATGGAATTCACAATAGGCACTTACAATACGTTGTGTACTAAATTTTCTACTTAACTGTTATTGACCGGAATGAAATATTCGGACTAAAAAACATTTTCAACTTACAGTTTTATGTATGAACGACAAATGTACGGCAGTTTAAATAAATGTGGTCGTATAGCACCATCTATCGGTGAAAGGATTAAAGTAGAAACTTATCTTTCTCTAATCTATTTGTAATTAAAAAAAAATACAAAAATATTAATTCAAAATGATTTTGGAAGGACGCCGATTGGTTTTGTCAGTTGGCTTGGTAAACAAGCGAGCGAGTTAACAGCGTAACAAAGACAATAACAATGACGGCAATTTTAACTTGAAATGTATTCACTAAAAGTATGGAAATGGAATGGAAATAATTTACTGCATTACACACTCTTTAGGAATTGGTTGATTTAAAAAATAGAAAATTCGAAACAGAATGCATTTCATGAATAAATTGTGTTTTTGGTAAATCCTTTCTTTAAATATGGAATGTAATGCACAATTATTAGTCCCTCTATTATTTTTATTTTTGTAACGAAACCATTTTGAAATAACATACCTTATTTCGTTGCCACAACTGAAATAAATCTGACGACAACTCATTTAGTGTCCATTTCTAGATTTGCCTGTAGGCTTTTTATTGTTTAGATGCGTGGACGAGCTCACAGCCCACCTGGTGTTAAGTGGTTACTGGAGGCCATACACATTTACAATGAAAATACGCCACCCACCTTGAGATACAAGTTCTAAGGTCTCAGTATATGTAGTTACAACAGTTGCCCCACCCTTCGAACCGAAACGCATTACTGCTTCACGGCAGAAATAGGCAGGGTGGTGGGACCTACACGTGCGGACTTACATGAGGTCTTACCACCAGTATAAAAGTTGTAAAGGGTTTTATAAAAGAAATTAGAAAAATATACTTTTCAAAAACAGTACACTCCTTCAGCAGTCGGGTAACAAGATTTTGCAAGTAATCCATGATTAGCTTCGTAATTTTCGTGACTACATTTACTTAGTCACGGGCAAAGGGCTCTAGGTTGTTCGTTGTAATCTGACAGAACGATCGTTTGTGCGCGAATTCGATACAGAGCACGCCAANGGGTTTTATAAAAGAAATTAGAAAAATATACTTTTCAAAAACAGTACACTCCTTCAGCAGTCGGGTAACAAGATTTTGCAAGTAATCCATGATTAGCTTCGTAATTTTCGTGACTACATTTACTTAGTCACGGGCAAAGGGCTCTAGGTTGTTCGTTGTAATCTGACAGAACGATCGTTTGTGCGCGAATTCGATACAGAGCACGCCAACGCATTCGCTTTGATTACATCGACATGATTACATTCGATTACTCATAACTACACAACTAATATTACAGGAAATGACGCGTGACAAATTAAATAAGATTCATAAGAAACTTGATCGAGTGGAAACCAGTAATTGTTTCGTTGTTCTATTTAAGAAACGGGGACGGTACATTTTTTTGCCAATAAATATTAAGATCCTAAATGTTCACGAACAGTAAGATGACACATGATCATCGGCCTGTATCTTTTTTCTTATTGCTTAGTTGGGTGGACGAGCTCACAGCTCACCTGGTGTTAAGTGGTTACTGGAGCCTATAGACATCTACAACGCAAATGCGCCACTCACTTTGATATATAAGTTCTAAAGTCTCAAGTAAAGTTACAGCGGTTGTCTCACCCTTCAAACCGAAACGCATTACTGCTTCAAGGCTGAAATAGGCAGGATGGTGGTACCTACCCGCGCCGACTAACAAGAGGTCTCCCATAGTCCGCCACAATGAACGATCCGCTGCCTTCCGCATCCAATCTTTTCCAGCAGCTCGCCGCAAGTCATCGGTCCAACGGGCAAGAGGGATGCATAGTGTAATAAAATGAAACCTCTCTCTCTCTCTCTCTCTCAAAACTGGGAGAATCAATGCTGTAAGTAACCGTCCTGTGTATTTCTGCCGTTGAGACTTCAATATCTTGTCTATAAGAGGCCCGTTGCCTGCTATCGTTTTCCCTAGGCTAATAGAAGTAAAGAAAAGTTTCTATTTACCCTTCACTTCTTACCACTGTTGATTGGTGTTTGAGACATAACATATAAAAAACCAACAATAGCTGCATTAGAGATTTCGATCAATCAAGATAAACAAGTACGATTGTTGTTTCAATTTATATTTATTACTGAAGAGACTCTTTTATTGACTGAATTTATATTTATTACTCTGATTAATATTATGTAGTATATAAAACAATTTGAATTGTTTTTTATTAATAGGACGTTTACAGCCAACGTTCGTCATTAGTAAATGTTTTATTCAATCGAAATATTTTACTTGCATTTCAAATTAGTAGCGAAGATTTTATGAGAGAGAGAGAGAGAGAGAGAGAGAGAGAGAGAGAGAGAGAGAGAGAGAGAAAGAATACACTTTATTGCACATCAAAACACAATTTAAATTCAAAAAACAGTCAAAAAGCAGATACATTTGTACAATAAGCGGTCTAATCGCTAAAAGTGATCTCTTCCAGGTAACCGTTTAATTTACAGAAATTCTGGAAAATATATGTTGCGGTGTAAATATATACATACCATAAACAGATACATATATGCCGTTTACGTATAATATGAGATATATAAATAATTGATTTATATACCAAAATACATACTAACATACAATACATAATGTAATATGAGATTTTTTCAAAACAAAAAAACTATACGAGGCAATCAATTAAGCACGTGGCATCATTCATGAATTACATTGAATAGTACGAACTGATTAGAAGTGGGCCGGGCGTGGGGCAGGCGCGGCCTAGTCCACGCTCAGTCGCGAGGCATGTCGCGTCGCGTACACCGCCCGCGGATACAAGCCCGTCTCCGCCCGCAGGCCGCCCCGGAGCCCGCACCGCCGCCGGAACCGCCCCAACCTGAGCCCGACAATCCGCCTTCCGAAGAGGAACGAGAACCGGGCGACTGGCGAGCCTCTCGGCCATCCTCCCCTCCACAGCGCCCTGATGACATCTCAGAAGGCTCGGAACCTCCACGACCGATCAGAACAGAACCCGCCAGTCGCTATGCCAACCTCAACTACTGGAAAGCGAGAAGGGTCACGTTCTACCGTAACGGAGATCCATTCCATCCTGGCGTCGAATTCCGATTCAAGCCGGGTCGCGACTTGGCGTCTATTGATGCGTTACTGGACCGGTTGTCTGAGAGACTAGAATTACCTAGAGGAGCGAGGTTCATCTTCGGGATGGACGGAGACCGGAAGTACAGGCTGGAAGAGCTGGAAGACGGAGCATCTTACGTCGTGTCTTCCTACAAAACTTTCAAGGTAACTGTGTTCTTTGCTATTATTCTAACAATTATAAAAAGGCAATATAACAAAGGATTCCGTTTAAGAGAATATAGACAAAACCTACGTCTTCTTACTCTATGTAAAGAGGCACGACATGATCCAATATTGAAGCCTACAGTTTAAAAACCGATTGTCACTCTTTCTTTGGGAATCAAATTTAATTCTAATAATTACTCAAAAAATAACTACATACTGTTTTGTCAGTATTCCTGTAGATCTGTAGTGCTACGACGCTACGCAGTTGTTAATTTCGTAGCAAGATTACGTTTCATTGATCAAGAAGTTACCTTGAAGTTTAAAAACTAGGGAAATCTGTAAAATTCGTTACTTAATCTTGATTTGTATTCAAACTAAAACAAATTTCAATCGACAGCACGTTGCAAGCCCACAGTCTGTGACACGATCCCGCTTATTTTTGTCACAAAGGATTCTGGGTTCTGTACATACGACATCTACGTTGTAAAAAAAAGGAATTATTTATGACTATAGAGATAGCCAACCACAACAACACATAAAATCACAGCCTCTATTCGACGGATACTTTTTAAAATAAACTTTATGTTAGAGTTGTCTTAATAGACATTCAAGATTAGTCAAGCTACGTGTAAAAACTTTTTTACATCAATAATTCCCGCTGTAAAAACTATTAGGTAAGAAAATGTCGTCGAGTCGGCCGCGTCCTTGTTGATGTGGGTCGCCGGATAACACCCACGCACAGTCTGACGAATTTGCATTTTGATTGTTTTGTGGCAACACCGAGCTTTGTTTTTACTAATGGCAACAATCGAAATAATTGTTCTGTAATTACAATCGAATGTTTGTTTGTTATTTCGCAAAGGAAATTGTCTTAATTGATGTACTGTTAATTTGTTTGTTGATTTCTTTTTATTCGTTTTGTGTTGCTACAAAAATTTTTTTTCCTGTAAAATGCCTAAGTTTATTGTCCGAGCCTGCAGACTGTTCCACGGATCATCTAAATAAATAATAATAATATTTTGTACGACAATATACCACACGTTATATTATCTACTTTTATAAGTTTATAAAAAATAATCGAATACAATTCAAAAACTATATGCTCCTACATAACTATACCTCTATAATGTTGCGGTATCAATCCACCAATATTGAAGCTAATGCCACGTTTAGAAATGGCTTTTTTCACCCGCACGCATAATGAGCCGCAAGGGTAGATTACATGATACTCTACAAGTTTTTACAGGCCTCCCACCTCCTTTTTATGTGTCATATGCTTTTCGGAAAGATTATTATTAAAACGAGAATTAACACATTGGGAAACCGGGTGCTCCTGGCATTATTAACTGCCAATGCATGCTGAGACTTCTTGAAACAAAAAATATCACAAATTTTGTAACGAAATATTTCTTTAAAAAAAAACCAATTCATTTTCCATTTCACTCAATAAATGAAGACTACAAACGTTCGTGTTCTATTATTTATTTCTTTTGAAAACTAAAACTCGTGCTCTTTCCCGTGGGCAAACAAAAGTTCACGCGAGTGTTAAGTTAATCGTGACGAAGGTTTTTACAAACACCAAGTGCACGGAAGTACGATGCTCCCGAATCGCGTAAATTCCCTTCGTGACAAAGACAATATCGAGGGGTGAAAGGACCACTTGTGACTCCGCACGGGTTCCACCGCCCTGCCTATTTCTGCCGTGAAGGAGTAATGCGTTTCGGTTTGAAGGTTAGGGCAGCCGTTGTAACTATACTTGAAACCTTAGAACTTATATCTCAAGGTATGTGGCGCATTTACATTGTAGATGTCTATGGTCTCCAGTAACCATTTAAGACCAAGTGGGCTGTGAGCTCGCCCACCCATCCAAGCAATAAAAAAAACCAGTATACGGCCCACCTGAAGGTGACTGGTCACCATCACTTTTGGACGTTGGCAATGTCAGGGGTATAAACTGGGCTGACGACTCTTTCCAAGCCTCTATAGAAAAACAACGTCTCTTAGCGCTCAAGAAACAAAGCAAAGAAAAGTTTATTCCAGAGCCCGACTTTAGGTGGCAATAAAAGATTACTGCAAAAGACAATTCAATTTAATGATCAAAAACATTAAGAAGTACATAGTTTCTCCCTTTTACAGTTTTAAATATTAAAATTAAAAAAAAAACACGAAATTGTCGCTACAAAAACAGAAACAAATTATACATACGTATTTTTTACAAAATTCACAAAACATGCAACGCTTGACACGGCATCTTAACGAAGTAGTCGAACGGAAGTCGTATTTTTTTTATTAAAACACGAATGAAACATATAAACGACAAAATAAAATTTAATTATCGTTGAAAAATATGTATGTACCTTCACCAAGCTATGGTAAAACCGACCACACTTCGCTGTGATTATCGTTAGCTAAACTTTGCTTCAAAATTGAACGTTTATCAAACGAATCGCATTAATATTTAATATATTTAATGCCTGTTAATGTTACTATACCGAAACATAGATTCAATAACAACTACAAAGTTTTTTTCTGATAAGGTACATATGTCGTGGATTTTAAGGTCTCCCAATGATCGCTAAAAATCAAACTCCCGTTCTTCATATAGATGATTTCTATATCTATACTTGATATTGTAATTGCGAAAGAGATTTTATTTATGTTATCTTATCTTAACAAAGAAACTAATCATTATGAGATTTTGTACGCACCTGATCAGAGGTAAAAGGATACCTTGCATTTAGAATAAAAGTATAATTCTGGAGATGATATTTTTCATTTAAAATTAACACAAATGAAGCCATGGCTAAAGGTTGGTTAATATCATTTAATTATATTATTTAATTTACTTTGACTATTCGAATCTGAAAAAGAGACTGAAACAAATTTACGTATTTTATAATTAATTTAATCTTTGTGTTTCTTTTAGAACGCACTTTTTTCCCAAAGAATTATTGATCTAAAACACTAAAAAATATATATATAATTAATCTGTTTATTATTCATTATATGGATCTATATACCTTAAACAAAATCTTCCATGCAATTCCAACAAAATACAAAATTTAACGTAAACTAAATAAATGAAGCGTAAAAAAAAAACATACCTACAAATATTTTTAGTATGAAATACTTTTACGGTTAGTCGTCCTCCGTCAGTGAACACGAAAACTGTAAAGCATTCGAATCGTCGGAAATAATTTAATGAAATATAAAAAACGTGTGGCACTCGAGAACTGCCGCGGTAAAGCTATTGCATAGCATTTTTTATCAACTTATGCAATTATAATTAGACAATGATAATTTAATATTAAAACAATAATAAAACAAGACCACGCTATATTAAACATTAATAAAATCAAAACCTTAACTGTCCCCTTCACACTCACAAACTAGACCGCGCGAGAGAGAGATGGGCAGACTTTTCATGATGCGCATGCAGTGTGACGTCACACCACGCGCTTATTCACAAATACTACACAAGCGCAACGTGAATGTGTTGAGCGCGAGCTACTTGGTAGGCGAGGTAAGGGGTGTCAGGTTTTTTCCGTTACGGAATTTCATGATTCGGTCGCCGCGATCATGGCCCGCGATAAAAGCTATGCAATAGCTTAAAAAAAGCGCAAAATTAAGCTGTAAAAGTGATTTTCATTCCCTCTACGACTTGATAAAATATAAGAAAATCCTACACAAACATTAATTTAATAGATTAAATAATCAAACATAGATTACTTTTGGAAATGATGCAGCCTTAGAAATTAACCTATAAATCGTTTACTTAGTAAGTTTCGCAAAATCCATCTACTTATTACCATATTATGTAGTACTAATGACCTAGGTGTGGTGTGCGTCATGCTAATAGTATTCGCACTGTAATCTTTTCAAACACCGGATAATAAATGGTACACAAATCGTTATAAAGTCCTGGAAATTTAGGTTAAACACTTAAAAAATTAAAACCATTTTGAGAGCCCATAGACATCAACAACACAAACGCCGCCAACCATCTTGAAACATGAGCTTAAAGTCTAAGTTTTTATAGTATGACGGCTGTCCCACTCTTCAAATCGAAAGGTATTACACGGCAAAAATAGGCAGATCTAACTATACTGAGACCTTAAAACTTATATCTCAAGTTGGGTGGCGCATTTACGTTGTAGATGTCTATGGGCTCCAGTAACCACTTAACACCATGTGAGCTGTGAGCTCGTCCACCCATCTAAACAATAAAAAAAAAGATCGGTGGTATCTACCCGTGCGGGCTCACAAGACATCCTAAAAATTATTTCCTGCCTGCTGGATTCGAACATCGGCACACTGTCATCGTTCAATACGAATGCAACGAGCGTCTTATCCTTTAGGCCACGATGATTTCAACTTGACTTTTTCTTGCCTTTGCAGGCGAGCTCACTTGGTGGTGAGTGGTTATTGTCGCTCATACCGTTGCAGTTTGTGCCGCGTACCTAGAATATCACTTATGCCCACTCGTGGGTATCGTAAAATATGACTAATAAATTAATCAAGGATAAAGGTATGGACATCAGCATTAGTGACAATAATGCAACACTGGATATGTGAGCATGTTGAGCAATCTGGATCCAAACCAGCCTTTAGGGTAAAGGTAGTTTTGACATTCATTTTTATTTTTTGTTTTACTATTATTATTTTATTCCGAAATTGTAGGTAGTTATTGTTTTTATTTAATTTAGATATTCTATATGAAATGTTATTGTTAATCAACGTAATATGGATGCAAAATCTGAAGTAAATGGAATAAATAAATTACTAAATTCACCGACATATTCCAAACAGCAATCTGCATGTACGTGAGGTCGTAGATTCGCCTATTTCTGCCTCGAAGTAGTCAGTCATACGTTCTGATTTTAAGGGTGCAATACCTGCTATCCGTCACGTCTTAGTCCAAATCTTATTCTGATTGCGCATCTATCTATTGACCTCATAATCATATGCGAGAAATGCCATGTACAATTACTCATTTAAGA